TAATGAAGATACACAGTAAAAATACAAAGAAAGTGAAAACTAAAAATATCTTTTTAGAAAAGGAAAAAAAGACTTAAACGTTGACTGAACGTTTAACACTGTAGGATGTGGAGCATCTTCAACATTTTCAGAATTGATCAATAGTTTGCTTTTATAACTGCCACCATTGAGAACCCATTTCACACAAATCTGTAGTACAAAATGACAGAAGTAGATTTAGGACTATTTTAGAAATGGTTGGAAATTTTCTCCTAATTACAGGGCAAAGGTAAATTAATGACTTTTTAAAAATGAAACTAATGTCAGTGACTCAAACAGCAGGGCTTTTCTTTTAAAAAAATATTTATTTCCTTTGGGATAAGGTCCCAATGGCTTGGAACTTGCTGTGCAAATCACATTGGCCTCAAACTTGAGAGCTGCCTTCGTCTCCCTGAGTGCTGGGATTAAAGATGCAGCCACCAAACTTAGTTCAAACATCAGTTTTTTAAGTCAGACTTTTTTTTTTTCAAGACAGGGTTTTTCTGTATTGTTTGGAGGCTGTCCTGGAACTTGCTCTGTAGACCAGGCTGGCCTTGAACTCACAGAGATCCACCTGCCTCTGCCTCCCAAGTGCTGGGATTAAAGGCATGCGCCACCAACGCCAGCCTAAATCAGACATTTTAATACAATACAATCTAAAGATAATAGTAATTTGATAACATGCTGAGGAATGAGAGTAGGAAAATATTAAAAGTTTTTGTTTCTATAATTAATAATTAAATTAAATAATTATGTTTCTTTTTGTTGTTGGTAGTGGGGGTTTTGTTTGCTTTTTGATACAGTCTCAAGTAACCCAGGTTGCCTTAGAACTTACTGTGCAGCTGGGGATGACCTTTGAACTCCTCTAATTCTCTGGACTATACACTTCTCAAGTTTGGGGATTGTAGGTATGCACCACAATAATTGACTTTAAACCATTATCTTTAGATGATATACAATAAAAATAATGTCGTTCATAGCATAAGCCTAGGCATCTCTATTTTGACCCAATGTTTCAGGCAGTATTAATGACATAGCATGGCATGATAGCATTCAAGGTGCAAAGTATATTCGGAACCAAGAGTGAGGTTGTGCGATGCAGCATGGTTGAGGGCTGCCAAAAACACCTTGGTGTTCAGAGAACTTTCACTCTTGCCAAATCCTCATGACTCCCATATTCAATTATGCAGTCCCATGTGGATTTAAGAAGTTAGGTTCTATTAACAATAGAGGGTACTCAATCCTAGCCCTGGAGCTTTCATTTATGTGTGTGTCTGTCTGTCTTTCTCTGTGTATGTGCTTCTTTTCTTTTTTCTTTTTCTGTTTGTTTTGTTCTGTTCTTTTTTAACTTGTTTTCTAAAGAGAGAAGGCATGGAGTTAGATGGATGGGAAGGTAGAGATGATCTGGGAGGAGATGAGGGAGGGGATAGTCATTAATTAGAATATATTGTATGAAAAAGTATTTTCAAAACAAACAATATGGGGGACTTAAAAGCTAGTCTTAGGTGAAAGATAGAGGGAATAATTTGGACAGTGGAGGCTCAGGTACTGGTACCACATAAAAGAAATGTCCAGTTGATTTTGAGAGAGTAGATCCAGGTAGGGACCTAGGCTCTTCCCTGCCTTATGGTTAGGGCTGGAGAGAGAGGGAGGGGGAGGGAGGGAGAGAGAGAGAGAGAGAGAGAGAGAGAGAGAGAGAGAGAGAGAGAGAGAGAGAGAGAGAGAGAGAGAGAGAGAGAGAGAGAGAGAGAGAGAGAGAGAGAGAGATTCCAAAGGAGCCCCTCCAGATGGAGCAAGGAAACACTGGCTTCTATTGGAGTTAGGAGCATTTACCCTTCCACCCTGAGCTTGGACAAAGCAAAGTGTGGGCATCTGCTTTGCCAGTTTTGTCTCTGGTTAACAAGGATTAGGTTTGCACAGTATGGTAGCAGTGTCACCAGCTGGTGGAATTGAGTCCAGCGACTGCTCCTTCCAGTTTGGTTTCTTCCCAAGGTAATCTTGGGAGAGATCAAACATTGTTTTCAGTGGTATTTCCCCATGGCATTACCTGCTAACCTCACCTTTACCTTGAATTACACCCATTTTACTCCCCTCCCCAGTTTTTCTGCTTCCATCTCTAACAAGTTATCAGCAGTCTGCCTTTTGCTTAATCTGCCCTTCACACAACTCTTTTCTGTACTATTTTCAAGCAAATCTTGCATTCTCCCCCTTATCAGATAAGGTCTCACTAACCCAGGCTGACCTTGAACTTGGAATCCTCCTGCCTCAGGCTCCCAAGTGCTAGAATTACATGTATGTACTACCATGCCTGGCTACCAGTGATTCTTTAAGAAGAAAACTATCTGTGGAACAGGCCATTGCTATAGCTTAGAAGCTGAGCAGCTTCTGAGTTTTTAACCTGGTCTATACCTTAGCAGAAGCTTGACCAGTACCCTGTTATACTGAGTAGATATGAACACAGCCCTAGAGTTTATCTCTTCCTAAGACTAGAAAGCAAGAATGGTTTTTGACATTAATGTTCTTGGCCCAGGGAACCTTCTCTTTCCCACCAATATCCTGTATCTGTTTTTAAAATGTATTTAACTTTATTTTATGTGCATTGGTGTGAAGGTGTCAGATCTCTCGAACTCAGTTACAGACGGTTGTTAGCTGCCATGTGGTTGCTGGGAATTGAATCTGGGTCTTCTGGAAGAGCAGCCAATGCTCTTAACTGCTGAGTCATCTCTTCAGCCCCTAACCCCCTGTATCTTATGATTCAGAGTACATCATCAAACCTGAGGCCTCAAAAAGCTAGAGGACCAGTAGATAAGCCGTAAAGAGCTAGGGAAATCTGCCTCTAGAACTGAGTCCACGACACTGAGTGAACTGTACAGCAAAGATCAGGTTGTGAACAGGAATTCAAACATGGTAATATCCATAATTTATTTTTATAATTGCTAGATTTTAGCAGTGTCTCCTTCCTCTGTTTTATCTGTGACACCATTAAGTGTCTGAAGTGAGCAAAAAAGATAAATGGCTTTATACTGCTGTGCTTTCTGTGGAATATGACATCTTGCTTTGCTGACTGTGTACCTTTGAGGCTGAGTTGGAGTTTCTGGACCCTAATTGTACCTTGCCTGGTTTGTTTCAGTTGAGTGAGTGTCGTGTGCCTTTATTTCCTGTCTCTTGCATCAGTCTGTTTGTGAGAGTGTACTGAGAGGTGATTAATGGGAAAGATAAACATGTGCTTACTGACTGAACGTTCACCCTGTTTCCTGCGGTGTCTTTGGGTTAGTGAGTTGTTTGTTTGCTGCCTGCAGACCACATCTGGTGTGTGTCTCTGTTGTGAACACTGTCTGCTCTTACGAGCAGAGTCAACATATGATAAAGTTTGAAAGACTTGACTTCACAGCAAAATCCCAAATGACAAGAAGATCAGGCAGCTGCCTGTCGTCATGTGCCTCTGGAGTCTAGAACTCTGCATACAAAATCTAGTTTTCTGCCTGGAGTGTACAGCTTAGTTTTAGCTGTGGGTTTTGCTGGGCTGTCTCCTCCTTGAGGTCTCAGATTTTGCGGCCTGCTACTGCTAAGCACATCCTCTCACCACCACTGTACATCCCAGGCAATCAGGCCTATCAGGAGCCTCCTTTTTGGTGCATGCCTAGGAGAACCTTGGAAAAGAGGAATTCAGCCAGATTTTACTGCTGTAAACATGAACTTGACAGAGAGAAAAATGTTTCCAATTTAAAAAGTAATACTGACCTTGTAGAAAATTTAAGAAAAATAGAAAAAGTGAGATTTGCTTATACTTTAAAAAGAACACCATTATTACTTTTGATCTTTCCATCTAGTTTTTTCTGTTGTACTGAAGGTATTCAGTTGTTATATTATAACCTATGTAAATTGCTTCACATGATTACAAAAACATAAAAACTTGTACATGCTTACAGTTTAGGGTTATTAGCACCAGGCATGGTGGTACACAATTTAATCCCAGCACTCAGGAGGCAGAGGCCAGCATCTCTATGTGTTCAAAGCCAGCCAGAGTTACACAGTCAGACCTGTTTCAAAACAAACAACAACAAAATTTTTATTATACTTTTTAAGAGGCCTTAATTTTTCTGCCAAAAAGATAATTTAACCATATCAAAAGTAGTTTCTTCATTTAAAATGTTTTTGTGAATATCTTTGTGTAAATAGTTTTTCCTATATTTTATACTAGATTTTGCGGAAATACAATTAGTGGATCAAAGGGAATCAACACTTGAAGTCTGTAGGATTGCCATAAGCTGCTACAGGGCATCAGTTATGAATCCAAAGTATGACATTTCCTAATGGGAATATCAAGGTATCCAACAACAAACTAATGATTCAGATTTTAGAAATTCCTCTGGTGGGGGGACTGGAGAGAACATCGGTTACTCTTCCAAAGGACTTGGCTTTAATACCCAACATGCATATGGTAATTCACAACCATCTGTAACTCCACTGCCAGGGCTCCAATGCCCTCTTCTGGCCTCTGCAAGCATTTTTTAAAGTATGTGACACAGAGACATACATGCAGGCAAAACCTAAAAATAAAAATTTTTAAATTTTTGTTACACTTATTTATTTAATGTGTGAATGTCTTGCCTGTGTGTGTATATGTACCATGCATGCTTGAAGTGTCCTCAGAAGCCAGAAGAGGGCATTAGATCCCCTGGAATTGGAATTATGGATGCTTGTGAACCTCCATGTGTGCTAGGAGTCCAACTGGGTCCTCTGCAAGAGTAACCAGTGCTTTTAACCACTGAATCCTCTCTCCAGCCCCCTATATCTGGTCTTAGTAAGAATTGTAAGCACTTACCTGTGTGCCTTTGTGTGTATCCTGAAGTGCCCTCTTGTGACTTAGCTAATTGAGGACAGCCTTAGTTGTTGGTACAGCTTGTGAGTTGGCCCTGGGATGCTTCCATGACCTGACATTTCAGAGCCCGTCTGATGATGCTTCTTGTTCTTTTGCACAGATCCAGTCCTGCAGGTCCCAACACACGTGGAAGAGTAAGTTTCCTCATCTCTTTAGTATTTCCTTTTAATTTGCCATCTTATTTAGTCACCAGGTACAAATACATGCACAAGTTTAAAGTGTAGCAAGAATTTTTGAGACATAAAATTTTTCCAGGTGGGTGGTATGTTATCCTTTGTTGGGTGAGGAGGGCAGTAGTAGTAAAAAGAGTTGTGTGGGATGGAATTTTTTTTTTCCCAAGACAAGGTCTCATTATGTGGCTCTAGCTGACCTGGAACTCACTATGGCTATCCTCAAACTCACAGAGATCTGCCTGCCTCTGCTTCCTGAATGCTGTGATTAAAGGCATGCAGCATTATGTCCTGCTACTTGAGACAGGACTTAAGTTGAGTTTTGACGTAAATTCCAAAGTCTGGATGTTTCCTTTTAAATTTTATTTGTTTATCCAGTCTCTTAAAATATTTATTCATTCGTTCGTTCATTCATTCATTCATTCAATGTGTGTGGTTGTTTGCTTGCATGTATGTTTGGGTATCAGATGTGTTGCCTGGTGCCCATGGAGGCCAGAAGAGGGCATCAGAGCTCCTGGGACTGAAGTTACAGATGGTAGTAAGCCACCATGTGGGTGCTGGGAATCAAACCTGGATCCTCTAGAAGAGTAGACAGCTCTTAACTGTAGAACCATCTCCTCCCTTGGATCTCTTTTTGTTCACTGTATTCAGATAACAGAGAGGAAAGGTGAATGTAATCTATTCTTAGAGTGTGTGGTGTTCAAGGGGATGTTGTTGCCTGTAAGAGCCTGAAATGATAGAACAACCCAAGTTGAAAATAGATTCAATAAAGGATTCTTCATGGCACTAATTATAGTTCCATCTTGAATGCATTCTCCTGACAGAGGATCAACCTCCAGTCTTCTGATAGGTTCTCTGATGTCAGGCTTTCAGAGTTTGCTTTGATTGTTGTCATTTAAGAAATTAATGTTTGTTGAAAATGACAAGTAGATATGGGCAACACCAATTTGATTTAGTGGATTACTTTTTAAATTTAAAAAGAGGAGAGGAGAGCTGGAGAGATAGCTCAACAGTTAAGATCACTTCTGGCTTCTACAGAGGATTTGGATTCAATTCCCAGCACCCACATGGTAGCTCACAACCATCCAAAACCCCAGTTCCAGGAGATCCAAAAGGCATATGCATGGTGTATATACATGGCAGGGGAGATGTAGTAGTTGGAAGGGGATGTGGAAAGTGGATATGATCAGAGCATAACATATACACATTTATGAAATTCTCCAAGAATAAATAAGACTACAGATTTGGACTGTTTATACACGAGACTATTGGTGCTAAATAAAAAGTGTTGATGTCCACATACAGTTGACATAGAAGTTGAAAACAGACTTACTAAGCTCTTTTCATTTATCTCATTGTCATCCACAGTACTCTGACCAAAAGACAATTCACTTCTGTGGCTTCATATGACTTTTCCTTCTCAGGTTACTTTTTTCCACTTACATAGAATATGTACCACCATGGGATATTTTATTTTTATGTGGCTGAAGTGAAAGAAGCAGTGGATAAAGTTGTCTTACACACACACACACACACACACACACACACACACACACACACACACACACACACACACACTCATCCCCCATGTCATGGTTTTGCATGATTTTGATCATTGTGGTCTTCTGTTCTGCCTGGGCCCTAGTTTATCCTTGATATTTATTATTCAATTTCTAGGCCTGCTTTCCTCCCAGATCCCAACGATGGCAGTCTGTACACACTTGGAGGCAAGAACAACGAAGGCCTGACGGTGAGAATATTTAGCTTCTTTGTATACTCTGGGTTCTTAACCAAGTCCTTATGTACCTGCATGAGAGACCACCTAGGAGCTTCGTACACACTGCTGAGGATTCTGATTCAGATCATCGGTAAGGGTATGGGCATCAGTGCTTTTTTAAAGCTTCCAACTGGACATTAAGATTTTTTTTTTTGAGCCAGGCAGTGGTGGCGCATGCCTTTAATCCTAGAATTTGGGAAGCAGAGGCAGGTGTGGGAGGCAGAGGCAAGTGGATCTTTGTGAGATTTTTGAGGTCAGCGAGTTCCAGGTACTTCCTGCCAGTCCTGATGATTCCAGGGTGGACCCCCAAGACCTACATGGTAGAAAGAGAGAACCGACTCCTATACATTGTTCTCTGGTCTCCACATATGTGTTGTGACATACATTCAGTCCCCTTCATATTACACACAGATAAGTAAATGTCATAAAAAGTTTAAAAAATATTTCTTAACCCCTCTCATTTCAGAGAGAGGAACTTCCTTTTTAACGGAAGCATGTGGTAGTCTACTGCTGTCTCCACTTGGGATTCTAGACCAGTAGTTCTCAACTTTGATACACATTGTAATAACCTGAGGCATGCTAAAAGATACTGAGCCTCTGGGGCTAAAGAGATGGCTCAGATATTAAGGTCTCTTCCAGGAGACCTAGGTTCAACTTCTTGTACCTACACAGCAGTCCATAGCCATCTGTCACCCCAGTTCTAGGGCATCTGACACCTTCTTCTGTCCACCTCGGGCTCAGCATTCCTGTGATACACAGACAATTTGGGCAGATCCTTATACACATAAAAATAAATAAAATAAATATTTTTTAAAGTCTTAAAAGACATTCTGAGCCTTGCCAGACTTGGTTGTACATGTCTTTAATACCAGCGCTTAGGGCAGAAGCAGGCAGATCTCCATGGGTTTGAGGCCAGCCTGGGTTAGGGTTAGGGTTAGGGTTAGCCAGCACTACATAGTAAGACTAGGCCTACATAGTGAAACCCTATTTATACACACATCATAAGCAACTGAACCTAGATCTCAGTTCTAGAGTTGATATGAGTTATCAGTATTTTTCTTTTAAGTTCTCCAGATAAGAAAATTTAGAAATTAACCCATACAGATGATCATTTGACTTGTACAATGATGATAGTTTGGTGGAGAGGGGTGTGTTTTTTTGTTTTTTGTTTTTTGTTTTTTTTTTTTTGATGGAGGGGTATCTTTTTAATAAATAGGGTATGTCTTGGAGTGGGAATGTGGCTCAGTAGTAAAGCACTTACCTGATACAGGGCTCTGGGTTTGCTTCATAGCACAAGGGGATGAAGATATAAATAGATCAGTGGGATATCTGTGTAGAAATAAGGTATATTGACTGTATACCCATCCACATAAAAATTAGTTACAGACAAGTCACATATTAATAAATGTGAGATGCAAGATAATAAAGCCTTTTATCCCAGCACTTGGGAGACAGAGACAGGTGGATCTATGTGAGTTTGAGGCCAGCCTGGTCTGCAAAGTGAATTCCAGGACAGCTAGGGTTGTTACAGAGAAACCCTGTCTTGAAATCTAAACTTCAGGAGGAAGTAATAGAAGAGCTTCGTCGCCTTAGAATATGTAATAGTTTTAAAACATTTTTATTATACTTATTTGTGTGTGTATACAGCCACTCATTCTGCAGTGATTACATAAGTTAAGGTCAGAGAAGGTGCACCATTTCACCAGCCATAATGATTTCTTAAATAGGACACTTTTAAATATAACAACCACAAATCTAGGGAAAGATTGATTGATACATTGATTATGTTAAAATTGAGAGCTTTTTTTCCTGAAGAAAGGAGGGCACAAATTATTTGTAGTCCACATACCCAACATTTGGGGAAAAAAACAAAACATCCAAACATCCATGTTTAGAAAAGAAAAATCACTTCTCCAGGGGCCAGATTCAATCCCCAGCACTGCAACAACTGGGTGCGGGTACACGTCTCTAATTCCAGCTCTCAAGAGGTGAAGACCAGAGACCAGAGTTAAAGGTCATTGCCATCCTCAGCTACATAGTTTGAGAACAGACTGGATTACATGAGACTCTGTCTCAAATAACCAACCAAAAAGAACTCCTGTGTGTCATTAGAAAAAGACAGGTAATGGTTGGGCGTGGTGATGCACCCCTCTTATCCCAGCAGTGGCAAAGGCAGGCAGATCTCTCTAAGTCTGAGGCCAAATATGCTCTACATAGTGGGTTGGAGACCAGCCAGACTCTCAAAACACCAAAAAAGAAAGAGAGATGAACCTACAGAAAGGTAGAAGAATGTATCTAAATGGTGAATAAATGCATGAAAAGGCATCATTAGGGGGATATACAAATCGAAGTCACAATGCTATCTCCTACCCAGTGTGGCTATGATGACTGGAATTCCTAGCAGAAGAAAGAGGAACCTTGTGTGTGGAGATGGCAGTAGCCAGAGCTCTGTCCACTAGGAGATGCAGGCAAGGCAACTGGCTCAACAGCAATTGCCATAGACCTACAACCCGGTAACACTCTCCCAGGCAGGTACCCAAGACAAGTGGATGATTATGTCCTCCCAAAAGCCAAAAGACATTGTCGTAGCAGGTCTCTACTGCTGTGACCAGGACCAAAAACAATTTGGGAGGACAGGGAACAACTCTCAGGTCACACTCCACAACTGAGGGAAGTCATGGCAGGAGCTCCAGGTGCAGGAACTGAATCAGAAATCATGCAGGAATGCAACTTACTGGTTTGCACTGGTTTCTTTCCTATACACTTCAGGACCACCTGTTCAGGAAGGGCAACTCCCACAGTGGGCAGGGCCCCTCCATATCAGTCATCAATCAAGAAAATGCCCCATAGGCTTTGCCTATAGGTCAGTCTGGTGGAGGCATTTCCTCAATTGAGCTTCCCTTCTAAGTTGACTCCTGCCCATGTCAGGTTGACAAAAAACCAACCAGGATAGATGTTTATTCAACCATACTGCTTGTTATATGCAAAATGTAGAATATAACTAAATACATCAATAATAGAATGGCTAAATTATGATAGTTGTTCAGTTGAATGCTCAGCTGCAAGAGCCAGCAGTCTACAAGTGCATTCAACATGGTTCTGTCTCAATATAGCACTAAGTAAAACATGGCAAACAGAACAGGCCACAAGTGTTCATTTATATACATCTCAAAACCAGGGAAAACTAGATTCTGTTGATTTTGGAGTTAGTATAATAGTTACCTCAGAGTGTTAATAGTGACAAAAGGCCCAGAGGGGACCTCCAGAGAACTAGAAATGTTTTCACTCCGTCTCATAGGGATGTTAGTGACAGATACACTTTCTTGATGCACGTTCGCTATGCTTATGAGTGCCATTCTGATTGTATGTTATGTTTCACAAGGAAGTTTTGAAAGCTCTCATGTGATCTAAGGTGCAGCCAAGGATGCAAAACCTGGTCTAGACTCTTAAGTGGACTTTTGTGGACTTTCAAATGTAAATTTTAAAATTAGCTTTAAAGCTAATACAGAGAAAGGCAAGACTGGGGGTGGACCTGCACGCATTCATCCTCCACACATCTCTGCATTGATTTCTCTCCACATCATGTAAGACATCTTTGTTTTGTTGCTGTTGTTGGTGGTTTTTTTTTTTCCCCCTTGGTTTTTCAAGACAGGGTTTCTCTGTGGCTTTGGAGGCTGTCCTGGAACTAGCTCTTGTAGACTAGGCTGGTCTCGAACTCACAGAGATCCACCTGCCTCTGCCTCCCAAGTGCTGTGATTAAAGGCATGTGCCACCAATGCCTGACCACATCTTTGTTTTAAGTATTTTGTTTGCTAGAAATAGTGTGGAGTGATCAGTATATATAAGTCATCTCATTTGAACTTTTTTTTTTTTTTTTTTTTTTTGGTTTTTGGAGACAGAGCTTCTCTGTATCTTTTGGAGGCTGTCCTGGAGCTCGCTCAGTAGACCAGGCTGGTCTCGAACTCACAGAGATCCACCTGCCTCTGCCTCCCGAGTGCTGGGATTAAAGGCATGCACCACCAACGCCGGCCCATTTGAACTTCTTGTCAGCCTATGGGTGTTGTCCCCACTTTAGAGGTATAGAAACTGAGCCTAGACAAGTCAAAGAATGTACCAAGACCAAAACTTCCAAGATTGGTGTTTGGACTTGAAGAGATATGATTTCCCAAGGATGCTCTCTCAGCTGTGATAGTATCTGTCTTGGAGCACAAAACTCCAGAGTGATTCCAAAAATATCTGGCAAAACTCTAGACATTGTTCCCTCTTGCTGTCATTTTCCTTTTTCTAAGGTTCAGTTTGAATGTAGGAATTATAGGAAAATCCAAGTAGTTAATTAATATGCCTGGCTCTGTTTATTAACACTATCAAGAAATCTTTTATTCCTTGGAGAAAAGGTAGCAGTGTAGTGGAAGCCTAGTAGCGGGTACAGCAGGTATCTGCACAGTTTCAGGGCCCGTTCCGAAAATAAAGTTCACCCAAACAAGCAGTGGCCAAAAAGGCCTGTCAGAGGTCAGCTGTGGGCCCAGAAGAGCAGTTTTATGATGAGATGTGTTGAAACGTTGCGACTTCTTTGAGTTTCTTTTCCGGGCACCTACCATAACTTCCTTTTTATAACCCAAAGGCTCTGTTTTCGGTAGAGAATTACTTACTGAAGAAAACACCAAAACTCAGACCTTTGTGTTGGCCTTGTAAAACCGTTCTCCTTCCCTTAAGCCTTGACCTACTTCTAAGTTGCTTCTCTTCAGCATTAATGGTCCTCCCATGGTAAAAGGCACTGTCCTTCTACTTAGCTTGGATATCTTTGGGTCAGTTTTTGAAGGCAGATTTCTTTCTCCCTTAAAATACCTAAGACTGTGTAGTTTTCCACATTTATGTAATTTTCTCAGAAAAGGCTTGCAGCACCCTCAGGGAATACCTGGCTGGGAGACCCGTGGGACCTGTGCATCCTGTGTCAAATAAATGTGTTGGTGTACAGAGTTCAGAGGCCAGGGAGCCCAGAGGCTGTTGGAAGTAGATGTGGAAACCTAGAACCTCCTCCATAGGTTCCAATTAGAAGCCTCCATCTTGCAGTGCACTTCTCTGTTTTTAGAAGAACTGGGTAACAGAAACAGCATGCTTGGTAAAATTACAGCAATTTCACAAGACTTGGTTAACTTATTATTATTTTTTTTTAAAGAAACTTCCCTTTACCATCCCAGAATTGGTTCAGGCATCTCCATGCCGAAGTTCAGATGGAATCCTCTACATGGGTAAGAATTCCTATTTTCAGCACCAAAAACTTGGTTCTTTTTGACAGTGAATCCTGGAATCTGGGAGAGTTTTGATGAGGAGAGTAGGCTATTGTCACCCTCTTTCAAGTCTTTCTGAGAAAGGTTTCCTTGCCTCAGTTGTGCTTTGGTGTGTTCATGCCAGGATCATTTGGCCAATTAAGAAAGAGCTCTTTCCTCCTGAGGAAAAAATCGACATCTTAATATGGTTACTCATTTAACAAGCTTTTAGCCGCTGGGTTGGCCTACTGCTGCTGTTTCATGATTGCAACATACCTAGCTGCAAATGGATAAAGCTTAAAGTGAATACAATAGTCTGAGCCAAGAAAGGGAAGCCAGGCCCTGCCTATTAATTATAGAGCTTTCTTAGGATTTCCTGCTATCAGAATATTTGGTAAAAGCAGCACTTAGCAGCTTGCCCGAGATACGCTGTCTTCATACCTGTGGGGTCACAGCTTTCAAAGCATTAACTCACCTGCTTTTCTTCAGCACATTGCTGCCAAAATGTCAATGAAACTGCATTGGTAGCACAAAGGAGAGCTGTGTGTATCTTGAAATCCTAGTAGCAATAATAGCCTGTGTTTATATAGCAGCTTTATTTTTGAGGAACTGAAAGTGCCTGTTGCCTATTCATGCCCCTGGAGCTCTATGTGTATTTTCAAGTCTCAAATGCAGGCCGGTTTTTCAGTTTTACGAGAGACACCCAAGCTCCTGCTTCTTTGCATGAGCCTTTCAGAATGAGGAACTCCCAGTCAATAGATTTATAGGAAATGACCAGCAAACCTCTGGGCATGCCCTGAGCCCATATGACCATCTTCTGACTGTGTTACTGTTTTCTATTGGTCTTCCAGTAATTCATAGTCTGTCGTCAACTTAGGGTATTGTATTTCCACTGTCTTTGTGCCATGTCTTAAGTGAGTTCATTGAGTATATTTATGAGCATAATAGTTACTCAATCCACCCATCATAGCTGTAGGTAGATTTTACAGACTGCAGTGGTCCTTGAAGTCACCAGATGTATGTCTCGTAGATGGCAGGTATTAATGGTCATAGTTATTTGGATATAATTTATTCTCTATATTCAGACTTTTTTAATTTTAAAACCTTATTGTTGAGAACAGTTAGGATCCACAAACAAGTTGGTCATCTGTGGAATCTGGTGTGTTACATCTGTTACAGCTAAGTATAGCTGTAGCAAATTCTGGTGCCCTGTGACCTTCTCAGGCATCTCTGTATTCTACTTCCATGGGAACTTGAATGTAGGAAATATCTATTACAGTAGAAAGATATAAATTTCCAGAGACGTGGCTTACAGAATAAAAATGCACACATTACAGTTGACTATGCTGGCCTTCAGATATACCATACTATCTGTACTGTAGACACATATGTTATATATTTTCCTAAAAGTGTCTATGTGACTGTGCTGTCTGCGTGTTTATATTTAATCAGCTGACCAAGGCAAGAGGTATAACCTGTGACCTAGGAATAGTTTACTGGCTAAAGACAAAGGTTGAAATAACTTTAGCCTCATTAGCATCAGTTTATAGCAACTCTGCTGACCAGTCACAGGTACTAGCTAATTATAGTTATGTGCTGCTTCACATGGGCACTAGCTAATTGGTAGGGATGTTGAGGAACATGAATTATAGTTACTAGAAGAACCCTTGTGGGTGCTTGTTTTTATATAGATCCTCATTCGTGGGAAAAGGACAGGCAAGATGTTTCATATTTAAAATAGTTATTCAAAGCAATAAAACCCACCTTGAAAGTTAAGAGAACTTTTTTCATATTATAATTAGATTATAAATTTTAGAGAAATTTTTATGTCAGGATTAGATTATTAAATTAGTATAAGACTCAGTGGCCCAAGCGGTTACTGTGTTCACATTAGCATTTATTTTGTCACTTCCAGAGCACTATAGAAACACCTTTAACATCCTAGGGATTTCAGACCTGTTTCCCAGCACAGGAAAGATCTTGAATGATTAGAACTGCTACCTTGGCAATGCTGATTATTTCCACTTGGGATGAATGTTAACACTGTGTCCATTAACATTCCAGGTAAAAAGCAGGACATTTGGTATGTTATAGATCTCCTGACTGGAGAGAAGCAGCAGACTTTGTCATCAACCTTTGCAGATAGTCTCTGCCCATCAACTTCTCTACTGTATCTTGGACGGACAGGTAAGAAGTGAGCCTTTGTTAAACAGCCTGCCTGTTTCCAGAGTGGATGGGACAAAGCTCCTCCACTGGCCTCTGTTACTGGATTTGTTCTCCAAATAGTGGCCAGAGTTGCCCTCTCCAAGCAACCATCTTTCTCAGACCCTTCAGATCCCAGGGAATGTAGTCTAGACTCCTCTGACCCCCAGAGCCCCATCATGCAGCTGCTGCATTTCCCTCCTTGAAATGTTTTCAACTGGGTCCACTACCTACTGCTCTCAGAATAGCAGTGCTATTTTTAAGGACTCACAGTGGAGTGGCTCTCTCTACCAGGTATGCCTGACTTGGGCACATAAATGCCCTTTCTTTTTCCACAGCTCTGCTCAAATGTCCCCCTCTGTTGAAGCTGTTTTCCTAGCCTTCATGCTCCCGCCTTCCTCAGGGACACTTTATGTTACTCTCCTGTTCTGGGGACACATGTAACAGTTGACAGGCCTGTTATAGCAGCCATCCTCCCTATCAATATTAGTGTCCTCATTTCCACTGTTGGGACTACTTAAGATTGTTCCTTTTCCCATCAAGTAAAGCCTTGCAGGGATATCTGGCTTCACACAGGTGTAAAAACTATGGGTCTCTGGTAGAATTGCAGTAATGAAGGGAGTTTGGACATGCTCTGGCTTTAGATGGAATGTGTGTTCTTAGTCTGTAAAGCCACTGTTTCCATTATCTATTACCATGTAACAAACTGCCTAACTGAGTGTCTTAAAGTATCAAGACATTAAAAAGCCATTTTATTGTCTCTAATTCTTTGACTAAGGAATTAGGAAGGGCTCCACATAGAAATCCTCTCTGCTTTTCATGTTGGAATGACTCATGTCTGGAATCTTGGTTCAGCTCCTTGTAAATTTCCCCCCCACATCCATATGGAAAGCCTGCACTTCCTGACATGATTCCTTCTTGGGCAAAAGTGGATGTTAGAATGCCTCATAAGGTCTTACTTCTGCTTCAGTCATTGATCAAGGTTATTAGACAGGTCCAGAGACAAGGGTGAAGACAAAGACAAGTTTTCACTGAGCATGGTGGCGCACATCTGTAATCTCAGCATGTGGGAGGTAAAGGCAGGAGGATGAGGAATGCAATGCTAGCCTTGCCTGCATGAGAGTGTAAGGCCAGCCCGAGCTGTACGACACTCTATCTTAACAAGCAAATAAGGGGATGGGGAGAAAAGGATCTCTCTCTTGTACCTTTCCTTCATCTACTTGATGTACAGTGACAGGACAAGATGACTGTAATAAAACATTCCCATTCAAAAAGAGAAGAACAAAGGTAGAGGATGTGGCTCAGGGGTAGAGTGATTGCCCAGCATGTGTAGGGTCCTGGGTTTAATCCTGAACACTAGCAAAAACGTGGAAGGGTGCTGATCCTTAGTAATTCTGAATCTAGCCAGGCATTTATATTCAGGCTCTTCTACTCTGGGTTACAGAGCCCAGTTTTACTCCCAGACATTTGTTCCTTACTGTGTTATTCTCAGTAGCTCTTGGTTCTATCCTTTGAGAGAAATGCTTCTTTTTTTCATCAGAAATGGCTAATTTAGGGACTGGCTCAGCAGTCAAGAGCACTGGATGCTCTCCCACAGGGTCTGGCTACAATTTCCTAGCACCCATGTGGTGGCTTACAACTGGAAATCCAGTCCTACAGGGTCGTATATCTTTTTCTGTCCTCCATAACACTGCAGGCATGTGATGCTTAGACATATAGTCAGGTACACATGCACCTAAAAGAAAAATGAACATATATGTGTATGTATGAATGGTTTAAAGAAAAAGAAATGGCTAGTTTTATAGCTTTTTTAATCTGTTTCTTAGTGAAGGTAGGGAGTCTGGAGTCCACCCCTTTTTATTATCTGATTATTGTACTAATATTACTCATTTAAAAACTTGGTGGGTTTCCCATGTGTCAAATTATTGTTAGTTCATTAGATAAAGACCATACCACAAATGTCCATTTGAGATTGTGAGAGTGCCCTGGCCAACATTCTTATGACTCTTAACTAGAAGAGGGGCCTCGATGGTATCACCTTAAATCTTTCTGAGGGCTCGGGTTTTATAGACTCTCCTGAGTTTGATTTTAACCTTGACCTGGGACTTTTTTCCTCATGCTCATAACTCTGAACTTCCCTTTTATTTTTTTTTGTTTATTTTGGTGGGTTTTGTTTTTTGTTTTTGTTTTTTGAGACAGAATTTCTCTGTGTAGCCCTGGATGTTCTAGAACTCATTTTGTAGCCCAGGCTGGCTTCAAACTCAAAAGAGATCCATCCACCTGCCTCTGCCTCCCAAGTTCTGGGATTAAAGGCATGAACCACCACCACCCAGCCAGAACAATTTATTTACCTACCTACCTACCTACCTACCTACCTACCTACCTACCTACCTACCTATATCTAGGACATGATTTCTCTGTGTAGCTCTAGTTGTTCCGAAACTCTCTTTGTAGACCAGGCTGGCCTGAAACTCACAGAGATCCACCTGCCTCTGCTGCCCAAGTGCGGGGCTCTGAACTCCCTTTTCTGACATATGAGTCTTTTCCCCAGCAGACAGTGGTGGCGCGTGCCTTTAATCCCAGAATTTGGGAGGCAGAGGCAGACAGATCTCTGGTCTACAAATCGAGTTTCAGTACAGTCAGGCTGCACAGAGAAACCCTGTCTCAAAAGCCAAACAAATAAACAAACAGTCTTTCCATCTGGGGAGTCTGTCCTGTGGGTGCCTTTTCTGTCTTCCAAGTTCCTGCAAGCAGTAGCCTTACTAATGTGTCTGCTGTATAAGCTCATGACAGGGCTACCCCTTTTCAGCTTCCTATAGTGGTTTCCTCACTCTTCTGTCACCTTCTGCCACCACACCCCAAAGTCAGTGTCAGGTTTTTTAGGTTTTTGTTATGGTACCATCTTACTTCTAGGCACCCATTTCTAATATCACCTATGTATTACTCTGTAATTAAGAACCCTGAAATTTAATGGCTAAAAACAGCCATTGCACAACTAATGATTCTGTGAACTATAGGTTTCAGAGCACAGCAAGGGTGACTTGGTTCTGCCAGGTTCACTCTTGTGTCTGAGACTTTAGTCTCCCACATGGTCTTTCCCTTTCCACATGGATTGTCTTAATGCAATTTAGTGAAAACTTTTTGTTGTAACTATATAGAACCTTCGTAGGGTCTACAGCCTCTCCATGGTAACCAATTGGTCTGTATTCTCCAGAATATACTATCACCATGTATGACACCAAGACCCGAGAACTTCGTTGGAATGCCACCTATTTTGATTATGCGGCCTCACTGCCCGAGGATGATGTGGACTATAGTAAGTGTACCCAATGAAAGGACACTCAGAAAGTTAGGCTGGCACCTTCTACATATCCACATATAGAAATGATCTCTCCAGAAAGCAGGTTGGTTTTTTTTGTTTGTTTGTTTTTTAAAGTAACCCTTCATCACCAAGTTCTGGGTTTTTCATAGGCTTGTGATGATCGCTTTACCCAGAGAGAAGATAAGGTACATATTTTGAGTGCCTGTGTATCACAGAAGGAATTTACTACCAACATATGGGCAATAGAATTAAACGTTAGCATGTACCATCAATAGCCGCATCAATAAGGCCACTGTAGGAGAATGGAGAGATGGCAAAGAGTACTTGTTGCTCTTGCAGAGGACCTAAGTTCAGTTCCTGCATATGGTAACTTATAACTGCCTGTGACTCCAGTTCCAGGAGATCAAATGCCCTCTTCTAGTCTCCATGGACACCAGACACACATGTAGCACGCATAAATATATGGTACACATAAATATATTCATGCAGGTACTAACTTGTACTCATAAAATAAATAAAAGTTAAAAATCTTGCCAGGCTGGGCATGGTGGCACAAACCTTTAGTCTCAGTACCAGGGAGGCAGAAGCAGGCAGATCTCTGAGTTTGAGGTTAGCCTGGTCTACATAGTGAGTTCCAGGAAAGACAAAGATATAGAGAGAGGCTATCTCAAAAACAAAACAACAAAAATCCTGCCTAGCATACATAAGTCCCTGTGTCTAATCCCTGGTACCACAGTAAGAAAAAGAAGGCCACTTTTAAATGTGGCTCATATTCTAATTACTTCTCTAGTTTTAACATTCTGTAACTCAGATGATAACCCTGCAACCTAAGTTTATTATCTTAACACTGGTATCTGAAAGTTTAATGATTCTTTCTGTCTCAGGACCTCACATATTTTATCTCTATGTGGCTATTTGTGGGGTCAGATGCACACAGGTCTGACTTTTCAGTTTGAGTCACAGGTTTTAAATGACTGCTCTGAAATGTCAGGTTTGTAGACACCCACATTGACTCCTTTCCCCTTAGCATTTACTCTTACTTATTGAGTAGAATAGTCTTTAAAAATGGCAGGAAAGTGGGAAATAAATCTATTTTATATTTATAGGTCAGGCATCTCTCAGTGTCTTGATATTGAAGAGCTCATTGGAAACCATTGAACTCTTGTGACCTGAGAATATTCCAGAACTCTCCTCTTCAATGAAATGACTGCAGCTTGCCAAGAAAGTAGAGGACATAGTTGCAGGATGTGGTTGACGTGCTTTGTTTGATCTTTACAGAGATGTCCCACTTTGTGTCCAATGGTGATGGACTAGTGGTAACTGTGGACAGTGATTCTGGGGATGTCTTGTGGATCCAAAACTATGCCTCTCCTGTGGTAGCCTTCTATGTCTGGCAGCGGGAGGGCCTGAGAAAGGTGATGCACATCAATGTCGCTGTGGAGACTCTACGCTACTTGACCTTCATGTCTGGGGAAGTGGGGCGCATCACCAAGTGGAAGTATCCATTCCCCAAGGAGACAGAGGCCAAGAGCAAGCTGACGTGAGTTGGAGGAGTTGGGACAGATCAGGCAGCCAAGGACAGCCATAACCCCTGCATTCTGGGACTGCTGCAGTGTAACATACCCAATACTAGAGGAGGTCAAAGGGTGGGCAGACATCTCTGAGATGATGTAGGTCATCAAGAGTTAACACTGGCTTGTTTTTTTTTGTTTTGTTTTGTTTTGTTTTGTTTTTGTTTTTCAAGACAGGGTTTCTCTGTGGCTTTGGAGGCTGTCCTGGAACTCACTTTGTAGACCAGGTTGGCCTCGAACTCACAGAGATCCACCTGCCTCTGCCTCCCGAGTGCTGGGATTAAAGGCGTGCGCCACCAACGCCCAGCCACTGGCTTGTTTTTTAATCCTGACTCAGTGGTGCACACCTTTAAACCCAGGGGGGAGACAGAGGCAGGTAGATCTCTGAGTTTGAAGCCAAACTGGTCTACAGAGTGAGTTCCAGGACTACATAGAGAAACCCTGTATTGAAAAACAAGCAAAGTACCCAAAACACTGGCTCATTTGGGAACCTCAGAATGTGAACCATGAGATACTCCTCAATGCTTCCAACTCTGTGTCTCTCTTTGTGAGTCTGTGTTATGCTTATGGGTTTTGAGAGAAAGTCCCATTATGTATCAAATTTATCATTCTTTCTACCTCAACCTGAGTGTGATGGATTACGGTGTGTGCCTACCTGTACTTCTTGAACATTAACTATAAAACATGAGTGGGAGACTGTAGTAGAAGACTGCATATTTTTCCAGGTGGTGGTGACGCATGTATTTAATCCCCGTAGATTAGGAGGCAGACGTAGGAGATCTTTGTGAGTTTGAGGCCAGCCTGTTCTACAGTGAGTGCCAGAACAAGGCTCCAAAGCTACACAAAGAAACCTTGTCTCAAAACAAAACAATACAAAACAAAAAACAACAACAATAAAAAAAGAAGACTGTGTATTTTAAGTTTTTTATTGTATATCATACTTATTTTAAAAATTGTGGGGGGAGTGTTAGAGTGATGTGATTGAGACTTAGCAGGCTTGTGTTGTTTATTCCTACCTGGTTAAAGCCTGTCAGTCACTTAATACACCAGGCCTTGCCTTCCTACTTTATAGATTTGTGAGGAAGTTCAAATATGATCATATATGTGAAAGTGTTGTCTGTCTGTAGTGAAGCACCATTTAGGTGGAAGGTATTAGTTGGAAGAAGTTTGGGTAATTTCATAGATGGCGGATCCACCAAGGCTCCTGAGAGTAGCAAGCATGAGGATGTGTAGGTACAGCTCCCACTGTCTTCACGCTGATACTAGACAGGCCTCTGAGATGTCTGAGGTAGGTTACCTGAGCAGATTACCAGAAAATATCACTCAGTTTAGATTGGAGTTTCCTTTCTTTCTCTTTTTTCTTTTTTGTTTTCTTTATTTGAGATGGGGTCTCAGGAGCCTAGGCTGGCCCCAAACATAATATGTGTACTAGGATTATGGGCATGCACCACCCTCCTGCTTTATGCATCTCAGCATCTGGGATGGAGCAGTTGCCCATTCCTCTGCAGACCCCGTGGTATCCTCAGAAAGCCCATGGCAGCATGGGGCCCTTGCTCAGGGTCACCTGGGAAACTGTCAGTGGGTGCTGAGCATTGGGTCTCCCGCTGGTCATCGATATAGCCCTTCCCTAGGGCTATACTGGACCCAGTGAAGTCCAGCCCTGGCACTTTGCAGGTGAGGAAAGTGAGGCTTGCCATTCTGCAGGTGACGGGTGAAGCTGGGGCCTGAAGTCTACTGTCCTGTCACCCTGCAGTACCCTGCCACTTTGCTAGTCTCTGTGGGAACTGCGTGGTCCATGGGAGGGTAATACTTGAGTCTATAATTGTGATCTCCTAGAAGACACACTTCGTGAGTTTGGACATGAAATGATTTCAGAATGCATGTTTCTGGTTTTTTTCAGGCCTACCCTGTACGTTGGGAAGTACTCCACTAGCCTCTATGCCTCTCCCTCAATGGTGCACGAGGGGGTTGCTGTAGTGGTGAGTCAGCTGTGGGACCCAAAGATGCCGTTTCTCTACTGCTTTTGTTCCTTTTTAGCAACAAGTGACCTTGAGTTATATGTGAACATCTGGTTAAGAAGAGGAAATGAGCTGGGTGGTAGTGGCGCACAGGCAGGCAGATCTCTTGAGTTTGAGGCCAGCCTGGTTTACAGAGCGAGTTTCAGGACAGCCAGAGCTACAGAGAAACCCTTTCTCAAAAAAAGAGGGTGAAATGTAGAGCTGAAAGAATCATGAGCAGCTTCTGTACATCCACATTCCACTTTGAAAGCAAGATAGTTGACAGAGCACATATACCCCATGGCTTTGTGTTCAAATCTAAACTCCCCAGGCTTTTTTCAAGGTAATCCTACCATGTCTTTGTACCACTCTGCTGGGTTTGGGGAGTGACATGGTCCAGATAAACACATCTTCTCCACAATCCCCAAACTTCCCTGTTCTTCTTTCTCTGAGCCTGTTGCTGGTTTCTCACTTCCCTTTTCCTGCTCAGTCCCCTCCATCCTTTGTGACCTCTCCATGCCTCCCCTGACTACCAGCCTGCTTTGAGCTCTCACTGAGTGTCTGCAACATCACACTCCCGGCCGCTTGTTCTGATTATCTACTATCTAGGCTGGTTGTTTATACATTGTCTGCCCAGTGAGTTGATTGGCTGCTTTTACAGTGGGGTCACTCCTGCCTCTATCAGCTCATCGGTGTCTCGTTTATTCCACATTGTCAATGGCATCATTTGTGACTAGTACATTTCCCCTCTTTTTCTTCCATATAGTCTCATATAGTTTCATATAATTTCTAATAGTAGCTTCTTGGAGTTCTATATACATATTCTTCCTGGTTCTCAGTACCCAAACATAAGAATCTGGAAAGGGCCAGACATGAGAGTACATGCCTGTAATTCTAATACTTGTGAGATGGAGACAGAAGGATCTGGAGTTCAAGTCTAGCCTAGGCTGCTTAAGTCCTATCTCAAACAAAAATCTGAAAAGGTGTCAGTGTAACACCTTGTAACCTGAGAGGAGGTGGGGGGAGCTTCCCTTGCCTGGTCCCAGGACCAGAATCACAGTAGTCTCTTTAGAGCTAAGAGGAAGTGATGCACTCTCCAGCTCATGGCATCCCATCTCCTCAGCCACGAGGCAGCACTCTTCCTTTGCTGGAGGGTCCCCAGACAGATGGTGTCACCATTGAAGACAAAGGAGAGTGTGTGATCACCCCCAGCACAGACCTCAAGTTTGACCCTGGACTCAAAGGGAAGAGCAAGCTGAACTACTTGAGGAATTACTGGCTTCTCATAGGTAAGAGCTGCTCTTTGCTGGTAACATGCTGCCTCCTGGTGGGCAAAAGCCGGCCCTGCTGCTCTTCATTCATTCATTGATTGTGTGCTCTGTCCATCTGAAGATGGCTTAGATCTGGGAATGTTTTTACTTCCAAGAGTTACAGAGTTCCAGGTTAACCTTATCAGGTCTCCATTGCAGTTTCTCTAATGTTCCAAGATTCAAATACATGGTGTAATTTTCAGGCCTAGAGTGTCTGCTCCCTAGTCTCACTGTGACCACGTGAGGTAGGTATCCCATTCTATAATGAAGAACACCAAGGCTGTTCATATGGAATATGAATGAATGTGGGTAAGAGGCTGGAAAGGGCAAGTTTGAAGACCCATGATTATTAACAGTTGTGAAATAAAAGACAAGATTTATGCAATATGAAGAAACCATAATCAACGGCCATGAAGAATCTGGGCTGTTCTTGGGCCATCACACAGTGATCCTCGGGGAGTTTCTTCTTCTCAGTCTATTTTCATATTGTTGTGAGACAGAAAACAATCTCACTCACCATGTTTCTCAGGCTACCCTCCAATCATTTAGCCTCTACAAGTGCTAAGCCTATAGGTGTGCACTGACTTGCCTGACTTCTTTACCTCTTTTCGTACTATTTTCCCCTTGCTGAGGAGGGAACGGGTCTTAGGCATGCTGAACATGCCTTGACTTTGGGCTACACCCTGGCCCTTTTTTCTTCTTCCCATTGTTGTTGCCATCACTAATGACCCTGAGGTTGAATTAGAGGCCTTGCTACAAAGATAAGAGGTTGAGCTGATATCCCAAGGCATAAGTGTTACAAACAAAGGCAGAAGTGTGGGGGACTGCTCTGACAAATATCCCAAGTAATTAGAGCAGGATAGAGTTTTCTTGAATCATATCTTTCTTTTATGTGCCTCCCCATGCACCAACAAAATACACACCAATTCTGATGACCCAGCCTCAATGATGTGAGAGATGGGGTGAGTCCCAGCAGGCTAGAGTAGACGTGGGTAGCTAGGAGAGTGTGGGCCCAGGGAGCAGCAGCACCTGCCAGGCAGTGGGTCAGGACCAGAGTATGACCAGTCAGGAGCTGGACAGGGAAAACTGGTTGTGCTTAAGCTCTGATCACTCCATTTGCAGGTCTTCTGGAAGACCCTGTTGTTTGTCCGTTTTGATTCTCTATAGCTGTCTTTATAGTATTGTTGTTATCCAAATAAGGAAAATAGCACAAGAATTCCACCCTTTCTTTACAGTAGTAGTTTGGGAAAGCATGCATGAATGGACCCACACTGAAGGGAGGGGGAAGCTAATTGAGCCAAGGTCATTAAAATTATAAGGACACTTAGTTTTTTTTGTTTTGTTTTTTTTGTTTTGTTTTTGTTTTTCGAGACAGGGTTTCTCTGTGGCTTTGGAGGCTGTCCTGGAACTAGCTCTTGTAGACCAGGCTGGCCTCGAACTCACAGAGATCCACCTGCCTCTGCCTCCCAAGTGCTGGAATTAAAGGCATGCGCCACCAACGCCCGGCTGGCACTTAGTTTTATATACCAATTAAGACTCCATAAACGCCTGACAATGGTTAAGAAGTGACACAAAGGAAATGTGATGAAAGTACTAAAAAAAATGTACAAGAGAATTCTCCATGGCAGAATTGCAAAATGAGATCCCTTTAAAATTAGATCCCTTTAAAACCCCTGTAAATTGTCAAGAGTGGGGCAACTATGAAGCCTAATAAAGTTCCAAGAGGTAGGTAAGTAAGGATCTCACAATTCTGAGGTCCCCTTTGAGGAACTCTGTAGCTGATCAGCTGAAATCAAGGCGGCAATGGGAATAGTAACAGCCTTCTCATAGACCAGGACTGCTAGTTGTACCTGTCAAGATACAGCTTTGTTTCTAAGCCCACCTGCAGATTCATCTTGAAGATAAAATGAATCTGTTTAAACCAAAAGGTGTGGTCTGTTGTTGCTGTTTCCCACCCCAGCAGTGGCAATCAAAAAAGATACCTCATGTTAACCTGTGGTCTATACACACAACCACAGAAAAGAAAAAAATTGCAGCATGAAAAACCTGAATCAAGCTAAGAGCTGATCCCATTGGGAGACCAGAAAGGAGGGAAACTGATGGGGTGTTTCCAGCCTGTGAAGGAAACCATTTCATATTAAAGCTAAACAGATTCTCAAGCCCTGTGATATGAAACTCCAGTTCCTTATTTTGGCTGCTTTGTTTCTTTTATTGCACACACTAGATTTGGAATGGAGGTGTGCCAAATGTCAGGTAGCCATGAAATAGTATGTACAGAACAGTGAGCATGACTCTGCACCCATCCTGCCCGTCCAGCACCCACTTCCTCTCATTCTGTCACAGTTGCTCACCATTCCTTTAGGTGGAAGCACAGGTGTAGCTCAAGGAGGGGCAGAGCTCTGCCTGAGCAACTGAAGTGCACAGAGGGGAGCTTGGGAGCCCTACTAGACTGATGCTACTGGAAAAAGCAGCGAAAGAACTTGAACTTGGCATGAAGCATCATGCTGGTTCCTAAGTTGAGGGCATGCGTCCACACAAGCCTTGCTTTACAGTGTATACCCAACATCCTAACAAAGACATAAGGCTTCTTATTTGCAGAACAAGCAGAATACTGGGCTGGAGAGGTGGCTCAGTAGTTAAGAACTCATATTGCTCTTGCAGAAGACCCAGGTTTGATTCCTAGCACCCATGTAAGTGGCTCATGACCACCCGTGATTCCAGCTTCAGGGGGATCTGTCACCTGTTCTTGGCACTGTACATATCCACACACATGCATGTAATTAACAATATGTTTGTTTTGTTTTTTCAAGACTGCGTTTCTCTGTAGCTTTGGAGCCTGTCCTAGAACTGTAGACCAGGCTGGCCTTGAATTTACAGAGGTCTGCCTCTGCCTCCAGAGTCTCTCAGTGGCCTGGAATTCACTGATTCAGCTACGCTAGCTAGCCAGTAAGCTCCAAGGGTCAATCTGTTTCCATCTCCCATTGGATTACAAACACACACCAACTTACATGAGTTCTGGTGATCAAACTTGGATTCTCATGCTTTCACAAGCACTTGACTGACTGAACTGTCAGTCACAAAATTTCTATGGCGAGTGCTGTTTTTTATTCTTGTTTGTTTGGGTTTCATTATGAAGCTCTGACTAGCCTGGAACTCGCTGTGTGCACCAGACTGGTCTTAAACTCACAGAGACCCAGCACCTCTGCCTTCCAAGTGCTGGGATTAAAGGTGTGTGCTACTACATCCTGTATGACTTCTGTTTCCATGCTAATCCTCTAGTTAGCTGCCTTTCTCTCTTTCTCACTGTGTAGCTATGCGATTGCATTGTAGGACAGACCCCCTCGGTACGTAGGGACTGTTGCTGAAATTTTGTCTTGAGAACTACCACTTCTGGAGAACAGTTCTCCTTAAAGGTTTCTTTCCTCTTATAGGACACCATGAAACTCCTCTGTCTGCATCTACCAAGATGCTCGAGAGATTCCCCAACAACCTGCCCAAACATCGGGAAAATGTGATTCCTGCTGATTCGGAGAAAAGGAGCTTTGAGAAAGTGAGTGAGGAAGCGAACTGATGGCACTAGCTTTTCCTGTCTGGTGTTAAGGGGTAGATTAGAGCCTCAGCTGGTCCATCCCAGCTAAAGAGTCAATCCCAGCATTAAGGAACCGTTCGAAACTATTCACAGACGTTCTCATAGCAGACCTTGTCCTGAAGCCTGAGAGAACAGAATGGAAAAGGCCTCTGAGGAGAAGCTGGGAGCTTCAGTTGAAAATCCCTAAGCACTCAACTTGGTTAATTCTCCTCCATCTCCTCTGCTCGTTCTTTCTTTTTTTTTTAATAGTTTATTTTTATTTTATTTGCAGTGGTGTTTTGCCTGCATGTGTGTCTGTGTGAGGGTGTCAGATCTTGGAGTTACAGACAGTTGTTAGCTGCCATGTGGGTGCTGGGAATTAAACCTGGGTCCTCTGGAAGCATAGTCAGTGCTCCTAACTGCTGAGCCATCTCTCCAGCCCCCCTCTGCTGGTACTTTCTATTGTCAATTCCTGGTCAGGTTTTGGAGGGTTGGGGAGACTTTTTTCCTGGCCTGCATGGCCAGCAAAGGGAATTTGGAGGTTGTGAAGACCTTGGTGAGCCAGCTATTCTGTCCTGGAACTCCTACAGCTCTGCTAAGTGGGGAGGGGTGATGGAGAAGTGGCCCAGACTCGGGGAGGGTTTGAAGAACAAGAGCTGCTGATATGGGCCATCTGTAGTATAACAAATCACTTGAGAGACTTAGTTTTCGTTTGTTTGTTTGTGTAGTACTCCTGGTGGTTGTGAGCTGCCTGATGTGGGAGCTGGGAACCAAACTCAGATCCTCTGCAATAACAGTACAGGATTTGACCACTGGCTACCTCTTCAGCCCCACAACTGTATTTTTAAATACTCATGAGCAGTTAATATCTAAATAAATGTTGTCCGTTGCCGTATTCTCAGCCACTTGCTACATATCTCACGTACTGTGAGATGCACTGTAAGGGAGGCATGAACAAAAGAGGTACCTGGATGAACTGGGAGAGCAGATGGAAGGGGAGAGAAGGGCATCCGAGGCTGATGGTTGCAGGAGAGAGTATAGTGATATAAGCATGTGGAGAAGCCAGTGTGCAAGGCCAGGAAGCTGTGTGTTAGCTTTGTTGGACAAACAGTGAACACTAGCTGTTTGAGTATAGATCAATGGTTTTTCTAATCTGTTCCAGGAAATCTCTGAGATTCTGAGGAACTTGTAGAGAAGCTACATGCTTATCTGATTTAATTTGGAGCTTCTAAATGGGCATTTCTTCCCACCCTTTACCCCCTTTGGTTTTTCAAGGCAGAGTTTCTTTGTGTATCCCTGGCTGTCCTGGAACTAGCTCTGCAGACAGGCTGGCCTCGAGCTCACAGAGATCCATCTGCCTCCCAAGTGCTGTGATTAAAGGTGTATGTCATCAGTGCCCAGCTAGCATTTATTTAATAAAAGCATCCGATACTCTACCCTAACTTTGGAAAAATATTAGAATTCTTAAATTATTTTAGTTTGGGAGTTACTTAAAATTTAAAAACAACCTAAGGAAGTGGCTTTATTGCTTTGTTAGCTATACTAGGTACATACCAACACAGCTTTCTTGTTTTTTTGGTGTGTGTGTGTGTGTGTGTGTGTGTGTGTGTGTGTGTGTGTGTGTAAAGATGCCAGAAGACACTGGGTGCCCTGCTCTTTTGCTTGTCACGTTATTCCCTGAGGCAGTCTCTTACAGAATTTGGAGCTAAAGTGGTGACCAGCTCCAGTGATCTTCCTGTCTCCACCTCACCCCACTGCTGGGTTATAGGCGCACATACTACTACATCTGACTTTTTATGTGGGTTCTTGGGATTTGAACTCAGATCTTCATACTTGTTTGTATAGCCCTGCTTTATTTTTGTGGTTTGACTTCTGTTTGTTTGTGTGGGGTTTTTTTGTTTGTTTGTTTTTGTTTTTGCTTGTAGTGTCAGGATTAAACCCAGGACTTTTGCATGCTCCAGTTAGCTTTATTTTTCAATGTGAAAAGGTATCAAATTGATGGCCAACTTTTCACTAGATTTTTTTTCTATAGTTGATTTAGGTGATTTTACAGTTTTCCTTAAATAACAAATCCACTATCAAAGGAGTAGTATATTTATCATTGGAAAATTTAAAAGAATGTCAGGGTCTAACGGTATTTCCAAATGTATTATTATGAAATCTCTGTGTGAACAATGGCAGCATCACTGCAGAATTGTATGGTTTCTCACAGCAGCTGCTTAGAAAGAAGCAATGGTTATCTGGTCCACCAGACTTTTGATGAACTATGAAAAAATATTGTGGTATTTTAAATAGACATGGCTTCTCTTGAGTGCTTACTTTATCTATAAAGCTAGACATTTAGCAGATCTCTTCCATGCAAGGTTATCAACCTGGTTGTTGACCAGACTTCAGAAAACACACCAACCACTGTGTCTCAGGACGTGGAAGAGAAGCTGGTCCATGCCCCCGCTAAGCCTGAGGCCCCCGTGGACTCCATGCTTAAGGACATGGCTACTATTATCCTGAGCACCTTCCTGCTGGTTGGATGGGTGGCCTTCATCATCACTTACCCCCTGGTAAGGCCTGATGTTTCTCATCGCCTCTGTATTCTGGTACCTCTCTGTCAGTCACTAGGTGTCAGTGGGGGGCACACAAAAGCAGCCAACATGTTTCATATTTAAAAGTCAATGTTTGAGCTAGGAATGGTGTTGTGCTCCTTTAATGATAGCACTCGCAAGTTTGAGGAACTACATAGCAAGTTCAAAACCAGCCAAGGCTATATATATAGTGAGACCCTGTCTCAAGAAAAAAAGAAGACAAAAGGGAAAATATTAAACAGTTAATTGTATCTTGTTTTTCAGAGGGAAGGATAGCAGATGAAAATCTGCTCCCTTACACCTATGAGATCAGCTAAAGTGTAAATGGTGATGTGGTGTGTCCTTTTGTTTCCTAGTTGCAGATAAGTCAATAAAAATGATGCTGTATTTGAGTAGGTAAGCCAGATGTCCCTGCAACAAGTTGTCCAAGCCTGTAGGGTTGTCTTCCGAGAGCACTAGAGCATAGGCAGCTCACATCTATCCAGTAGGGAAGACAGACTTTGTGTGCTTTGCTTTCTGTGGGCAAAGTACAATTACCTAATTGTTTTTAACCTCATACAGTCCTAAGAGGTCATTATTATTTATTCTCTGTCCACAGAAGAAGAAACTAGGCTCAGGGAGGTTACATTCCTGGGGCACTAAGCTAGTAGGCAGCACACCCAGAACTTTGACCCTGGGTTCAAAAAAACCTAGAGAAAACTCTTGTCCACCTCCCATGCACAGGCAAGAATAATTGCAGACCACTGATGCTTTTCATGATGGTGGAGCATAGCTTCCAGAGGGTGCTGTGTGGCAGCATGTTAGACGCAGGTCCTTAGGAGCAAGACCTTGGCCAGGCACCATGATTCAGCCCCACACTGCCTCATTCTGAACCCAGCTTCCAGCCTGCCTTCTAGACTTCAGGCCACCCTGCTCTAACCTCTATTTAGGACAGCCATTGTGGACTAGGACTTGACACCTTCCCACCATACCACCACCATGCACCTCTACCCATTCTTCCCGTTTGGCTTCACTTTTACAATAACTCCCAGGCTTGGTTAAAAGTCACTAATTTCTAAGATTAAGTGGAAACTTCTCCACTGGGCTTAGCCCTTTTTCTAGTGCAGGATCCCTTCAGGTGCTCCTCCTGGTGGTCATTTAATCTCACCAGCAACCTCCAAAGGTAGATTGTGGCCCTACAGAAGAATAAAATTACTGAATTAACTCTGTCTCACTATGGCTTCTCTCTGACATTGTGCCTTAAGGTTCAAATAAAGTTTACCCAGCCCCTTGGCCACAGGGAGAGGGACTTGTTCCCATCTACGCTAGCCTGGATGTGGGTTTCTCTTCACAGAGCATGCATCAGCAGCGCCAGCTCCAGCACCAACAGTTCCAGAAGGAACTGGAGAAAATTCAGCTCCTGCAGCAGCAGCAGCTGCCCTTCCACCCGCATGGAGACCTTACTCAGGACCCTGAGTTCCTGGATTCATCTGGCCTCTTCTCAGAGAGCTCAGGCACCAGCAGCTCCAGCCCGTCCCCCAGAGCCTCCAACCACTCACTCCACTCCAGCAGCTCTGCCCTCAAGACTGGCACTAACCCCTCCCTGGAGCAGGATGATGAGGGTAAAGATAGTTCCCATTGTGTCATTGAGCACATGCCATTCCTAAGGGCTCACTTTGCTCTCCCCTGGCTTCCTCCCATCTATAGGTCTCTGGGGTAGGGGGCTTCTGCCCCATTCATAGTGTCCTCTGTTTGAGGGCCTTCTTCTTTCGTCTTTCCTCTACAGGCTATGAACTGCTATTAACCAGAGGAAAATTTCCCATTTGGCTTAAGTGAATTCCTGAGACCAGCCATTGGCCAACTTCGAAAGTGAATCAGTGACCCACTTTCCTCTTGGGAAGTGGCTTAGCCAACAGTCAGGGCCCATATTCTAGAAGGATCGCCACAGTGATTGTGAAGGGGTCACAGAGCCCCTAGTTCTAAGTAGTGTATTTTACCTGTCCTGCTACACTGAGACATTTTAGATATGGATCTTCGAGGTAGACCTTTGATTGTTTTTGTTCACCATTAACTAAACATGAGACTCTATAGAGAGTCCTTTTCTTTTTTAAAAGCTTAAGACTTCTGAGAAACAGGATGTAGGAATAGGGGCCAAAATGCTGGGGAGGAGGCAGGGGCCCTGGCATAAATGAGCAGCGAGCCTAGCTAGCTCTTACCCACCAGGAATCTGGGGATATAGGCCCTCTTCAATTCCCAAGTCTTACTCAGAAATCAGGAAGCTTCAAAGTTCTTTGGGTGGTGTCTGTTGAAAATGACCTCTTCTTTTTCCTGTTTTGTTCCAGATGAGGAAACTAGAATGGTGATTGTTGGGAAAATTTCATTCTGCCCCAAAGATGTTCTGGGCCATGGAGCTGAGGGCACAATTGTATACAAGTGAGTAGTGTCACCCAGTCTCCTCCTACCTATGTGAGTGCTTGTAGGGTTGAAGTTTTAAGTGCCAGGTTCCTGGGACATAGCAGGGTCAAAGTGATGACCAAGGCAGGTGAGCTTTGCCTCCAGTGAGTTCCCACACTGTCTTAGAGTTTCTGTTGCTGTGATAAAACACCATGACCAAAAGCACCTTGATCCACACCACAGTCCATTGAAGGAAGTCAGGATAGGAACTCAAGGCAGGATTTGAAGTAGAAACCATGGAGGAGTTCTGCGTACTGGCTTGCTCCTCATGGCTTTCTCAGCCTGCCTCTTATAGACCCCAGGACCACCTGCTCAGGGTTGATACCATTGATAGAGTGCTGGGCCTTCTCACGCCAGTCACCCATTCAGAAAGTGCCCTACAGAATTGCCTACAGGCAAATCTTTTGGTTTTTACGAGACAGGGTTTCTCTGTATTGTTTTGGAGGCTATCGGTCCAGCCTGGCCTCGAACTCACAGAGATCCACCTGCCTCTGCCTCCTGAGTGTTGGGATTAAAGGTGTGCGCCACCACCGCCCGGCTCTATAGGCAGATCTTATGGAGGCATTTTCTCAGTTGAGGATCCTTCTTCCTAAGTGACTCTAGTTTGTATCAAGTTGACTTAAAGCTAGTCAGGCAGCACAGTAAAAGAGACTAGTCACTGTGGGTTGCTGGTGGTGTCTGATCCTGGAAGAAGGAGCACTGGTGCCTCACAGGGCTTATGTCATGTCTACAGCCCATCGCGCACTAGCCAAACTCAGCTACTTCTTGTCCTACAGAGGCATGTTTGACAACCGTGATGTGGCGGTGAAGAGGATCCTCCCTGAGTGTTTTAGCTTTGCAGACCGTGAGGTCCAGCTGCTTCGAGAATCAGATGAGCATCCAAACGTGATCCGCTACTTTTGCACAGAGAAGGACCGACAGTTCCAATACATTGCCATTGAATTGTGTGCAGCCACTCTGCAAGAGGTGGGTCTGACCGGCCCTTAGTGCCTGGGCTCGGTGACGGCTTTGCCACAACCACTGCAGCCTCTTCTCCCACCAACTGGGATGTGTTCAGGGAGTATTGGAACTGCCTTATTATCTTCCTCATTGTAAATTAATAAACTTTAACTTTGTTTATGTGTTTAGTCAGCCTATGACTTTAGGAGGTCTGTTGGAAAATATGGGTTGAACTGAAAATGTTGTCAGTAAAATGGGATTAAAAGAAACAACATCATAGGCCAAGAAGTCCTGAAGGTTATGTGCTGTGACCTTGCCATTGTGTCTCTTGCAGTATGTGGAGCAGAAGGACTTTGCCCACCTTGGCCTAGAGCCCATCACCTTGCTTCAGCAGACCACCTCAGGCCTGGCACACCTGCACTCTCTCAACATAGGTGAGTGGGTCCTCTTGACCAGGCTAAAGGGGGCAGCTAGCTGGCCTTCATAGGAGAAAGGAGCATGCAAGTGGTCTCTTGAGAGGTTGTGTAGGAATTTGAGGTAGGACCTCGGGTAACTGAAAACTGAACATTCTGAAGATGACAGTAGGTATTTAGGAAGCTGACAAGGACCCATAACCCCTAGTAGGATGCTGGGGTCACTCATGGTAAGCTTTGAATGAATTTGAGGTTCTCTCCTAGTTCACAGAGACCTGAAACCCCACAACATTCTCCTCTCCATGCCCAATGCACATGGCAAGATCAAGGCCATGATCTCTGACTTTGGCCTCTGCAAGAAGCTGGCAGTGGGTAGGCACAGTTTCAGCCGTCGTTCAGGGGTACCTGGCACTGAAGGCTGGATCGCCCCAGAGATGTTGAGTGAAGACTGCAAGGAGAACCCTGTAAGTAAATGGGATGTTTTAAAAGAAACCACAGTATAAATGTGGGGGCCCAGGCACACATGGTTCCAGAATGGCACCATTTAACAAAGAACTGTACTGTGAACTACCCATGTTGTGTCATGTTCTGACAGATGCACAAGAAACACAGATGGCGAATAGTTGTCTCTTTCCCAACCCTTCCAATCACTTTTTAACACCTTTTCCCTTTGGGAACCTAAAGAGTCCAGACTTGACTAAGATGAGCAGACTCCAATTTGTTTAAGTTTGTTTGTTTCCTCAAACTTTTGTTTTAAGAATCTGTAGTACAGGAAATTGAAAGGATGTTAGGACCTATATGCTTCTGTCCAGAGTCACTGTTACTACGTAATGTAGATTTGTTCCGTCTTCCTGTGTTTACCTGTGGCTGGACTATTTGCATATGGGGGGCCTCCCACCCCTAAATGCTGCAGCATTTGTTTCCTAAGTGAGTGCCTCCTCCCAGCGTCTCATTGTCACACCTGAGCAGCCAACACTCTTTCCATCCTGTTTCCTCACACAGTCCGCGCTCACTCCCCCAGCAGCCTCCCTCCCTACCTGTCCTCTGATGCTCATTCTTGAGAAGTTCTTGAATGCGCCATTCTAGGCTACTTTGCTTGTTTCACAGCTCTCCTGTTCTTTATATGTCCTGTAAGCTAGAAGTTAAGTCTAGAGGCTCGGTTAGATTCAAGAGAAATGTTTCAGGCAAGAATAGATCATGAGTCAAAGAAGAATGTGATGTCAGATTGTGCCCTGATCAGTGATGCTAACTTGGGGCACCTGGCAGAGCCAACGTCCCAGGCTGTTTTCCCCAAGCCCATGACCCTGACATCAATCAGGACCCTAGAGCAGCACTACGGTGCCCCTGCTGCTCTGGGCAGTTCATGTTCATCAGCCACTTTATTAGATCCCTTTCAGGGAGGACTGAAGTGAAGTCAGGGCTGGGAATAAAGTGATGGCTCCCTGAGGCTCCCACTCTGCATTTCTTTCAGACCTACACAGTGGACATCTTCTCTGCAGGCTGTGTTTTTTACTATGTCATCTCTGAGGGCAACCATCCTTTCGGCAAGTCCTTGCAGCGGCAGGCCAACATCCTTCTGGGCGCCTGCAGCCTTGACTGCTTCCACTCAGACAAGCACGGTGAGCAGGTGGTCTGGGCGGTAACACCTTCCACTGTCCTGCCCATTGGGCCCTAGGAAATGCTGAAACATACAGAGTTGATGGAGGCTGGTTCAGATCATCTTGGAGTACTGAGATGCTGACCTGGGGAAGGCGCCCTCTGGAGACTGCTCTTTCCTACCATGTGATCAGAGGGCCTTACTGGCATATAGGAAGACCTGTGCTCTGTAAACTGAACTCTGTTGTGTGAGGGCTATGGTTACAAGACATAGTCTGTCCTGCAGGGATAGACAGACAGGTTCTGTCTTTGATCTGCTGACTTGGATACAACACATGCTTCTTCCTGACTGGGAGGTTTGCTAAACTGTATTAGATCATAGCACCCCAGTGCCGCTATTCGCTATTTGAAAAGACTAAAACAAAGTAATTGTTTTGCACTGGGCACTGGTGACAAACACCTTTAATTTCAGCACTCAGGAGATCTCTGTGAGTTTGAGGCCATCCAGGGGCTATTAAACAGAGAAATCCTGTCTCCAACCCTCCCCCAAACCTCACAACCAAAACACTAATACTTGTTTTGCTTATGAATTTTTTCCTTATTTTTTGTAGAAAAGTACATTAGCATAAAGATCTACATTTTCATTATAGAGGAATGGGTATCTGGTATCAATGCCTTTGTATATATTGTTCTAATTGCTTATCTAGATATGTATGCTTACTTTTATAAAAATGGGTCCAGGAGTGGTGGCACACACCTTTAATCCCAGCACACAGGAGGCAGACTTAGGAGGATATCTAAAATTTGGGCCCAACTTGATCTACAGAGTGAGTTCCAGGACAGCTACATAGTGAGACCCTGTCTCAAAACAACAACAACCTAAAGATGGGTTAATGGGTTGGCAAGATGTCTCAGTGGTAAAGGCACTTGCCTGCAAGCCTGATGACCCAAGTTCAACCCCTGGGAACCCACCTAGATGGTAGAAGGAGAGAACCAACTTCTTACAAGTTGTCCTCTGACCTCCATAATGCCCTTCCTCTATACACAAATAAATAAATGTAAAAAAGAGGGAGTGGGGGCTGGAGAGATGGCTCAGAGGTTAAGAGCACTGACTGCTCTTCCAAAGGTCCTGAGTTCAATTCCCAGCAACCACATGGTAGCTTACAACCATCTGTAATGAGATCTGGTGTCCATTTCTGGTGTGCAGACATACACGCAGACAGAATACTGTATGCATAATAAATAAAAAAAGGTGGGGGTGAAGTTAAGACTAAAGGTTATAGAACATACTTGTAGTCCTAGCACTTAGGACACTGGGCCTGGAGAGTCTCAAATTTGAGACCAACCTAGGATACAGAGTGGTTCCAGGTGAGCATGGACCGAAAGACTCCTGGTGGAAGTCGGGATGGGGTTAAATCACACATTTGCAACAGATTCATTTTTCTACTTCATGTTTTATTTGTTTAATGAATCAGAATCTCTTTGTATAGCCACGGCTAGCTTAAGTTTTCGTACTGAACTCATACTGGTGTCAAAATCGTGGTCTTCCTGCTTCAGCTTCCTGAGTACTGCGATTACAAGCTCATCATGCCTCACCTTGAATGTCTTTCTAAATCCATCTATATTTAGCCTAGTGTCATTTTAACAGCTCATCATCTAGTACATAAGCCTCTGGTTTGGGATATTTTTAGTCACTACTTTTCACAACCCACATAGCAAAAAACCTGTTATCAACCGATGTTTGGTGTGAGTGCATTTTTTTATTAGAATCCATTCCTGTACCAAAATCTCGTATCAAAAGACATACAAAGGGAGATGACCCAGTTGGTAAAGTACTTAGCACAAAAGTAGGAGGACTTGGGTTTGGATCCTCAGCACCTAGGTTAAAAACAAACAAACAAGAAAAGCCTGGTGCCCTGCACCTGTAACCCCAGTCCTGGAGAGGCAGCAGAAGGACCCTTGAGGCCTCCTGGGCAGCCAGTGTAGCTGAATTGGTAAGCCCCAAGTTCAGAGACTTCTCAGAAAACATTAGGTTGAGAGCAACTGAGGAAGACATTTGACATAAACCTCTGACCTCCACATGTGTGAACACGTGCAAACATGTACACATATATGCAACAGATACACAAATGTGGGGGCGGGCATGCAGATTTCCAAGGTTTCTGATAGTTCATTTGGTTACAGGTTGGAAATAACGGGTTATTTATTTTCCTCCTCTTTAGAGGATGTCATTGCTCGTGAATTGATAGAGAAAATGATTGCAATGGATCCCCAGCAGCGACCCTCTGCAAAGCATGTGCTAAAACACCCATTCTTCTGGAGCCTGGAAAAGCAGCTGCAGTTCTTTCAGGTACCTGCTTCTGTTTCTCCATCAAACTTTTTTTTTTTTTTTTTTTTTTTGGTTTTTCGAGACAGGGTTTCTCTGTACTGTTTTGGAGGCTGTCCTGGAACTAGCTCTGTAGACCAGGCTGGCCTCGAACTCACAGAGATCCGCCTGCCTCTGCCTCCTGAGTGCCCGGCTTCCATCAAACTCTTAATGCCTTCCAGATTCTGAAAAGGTAGAACGGACAAAGAGCCAAAAAACGGCCTATATAGCCCACAACCAAGACAAACGTGATTGACGTTTGTGTTAGTAAACTCAGTGTATGTATCGTAAAGGGGATGTATTAGGATCATGAGATGCAGCCTGGGTAGTCCAGCAGTGACTGTCTGCACATTGGAGACACTGAGAAGCCAGTAGCTGCTCAGTAGTTACACTCTACGCTGAGGGCCTGGAAGATTTCTATTTCTTTTAAAAATTAGGGTTTTGGGTTGGAGAAATGGCTCAGAGGTTAAGAGCACTGGCTGCTCTTCCAAGGGTCCTGAGTGCAATTCCCAGCAAACACATGATGGAGCACAACCATCTGTAATAAGATCTGGTGCCCTCTTCTGGCTTGCACATACAGACAGAACACTGTATACATAATAAATATATAAAATCTTTTTTTTTTAAAATAGGTTTTTTTATATTATATGTATAAATGTTTTGCCTGCATGTATGTCTGTGTACCACATGTGTTCCTGGTGTCTGTGGAGTTCAGAAGAGGATGTCAGATTCCATGAAAATGGAGTTACAAAAGGTTATAAAACACAATGTGGCTGTGTCAGGGTGCCTGAGTGGTCTAAGGTGCCAGACTCAAGCTCAGCTTCCTCAAAAGACACAATGTGGGTGCTAGGAATCAAACCTAGGGACTCTGTGAGAGTAGGAAATGCTCTTAACTAACTACATCGCTGATTGCTAAACTTTATATTCCGAGATTGCTAATAACTCAAAAGCGGATTATCTATCCTCAAGTTTTCACAAGTATTAATTTCTATGCTCTTCCACACCCCAGATTATTTTTTAAGATGTGTATGAGTATGCATGTGTGTACATTATGTACTTGCCTGGTACGCACAGAGGCCAGCAGACAGTGGCTCCCCGACACTGAAGTTACAGATGATGTGGCTGCCACATGGGTGCTGAGGACAAAACCCTGTCCTGTACAAGAGCATAAAGTGCTCCTAACTATTGAGCCATCTCTCTAGGCCCCGGTCCTACATTAATTTAATTTTGTTCAGTGTCATAAATTTAAACATTTCCTTGCCGGGCGGTGGTGGCGCACACCTTTAATCCCAGCACTTGGGAGGCAGAGGCAGGCGGATCTCTGTGAGTTTGAGGCTGGGCTGGACCGATAGCCTCCGAAACAATACAGAGAAACCCTGTCTCATAAAAACCAAAAAAAAATTTTTTTCCTTAAGAAGGTTTTTCTACTGTCTTTACTCAGATCTCATTTTGTTTAGTATACACTTTCCAGCTAAAATTTAAGATCAATGGCTCTGAATTCCTTTGGCGATTGACAGCTCTGTTTGTGACATTGCCAGGTAGCTTTGTATAGACTAATTGTGGATGTGAGGTGGCATAGATGAGTAGACCAGAGTGTCTGCTCTGCTGTGAAGGGCAGTGAGCAGAGCAGTTGGGTTCTCTCCTGGAGAGCACCTGGCTTAGAATGGGAATCTCACACTATCAGGAGTTTGACAGGAGCCTTGGCTATAGTGACATCCTACAGCATTACTCCTTGAAGGCAGAACTTCCTAAACTGTTTTAATCACAGCTCTGTCCTCAGCACCCAGCAAGGACACTGCCTGGCCTGTTGCCGGTGCTTAGTAACCAGTCAGATGTCTTTGGGTAAAGGTCCGCTATCTTATTCCAGGGCAGCAGCGGGTGTGTGTAGTGTCATGATTGACTGTTGTGTGCTACAGGGTATAACATGAAAATTCTCAAGTCTAGGCCACTTAAATGACAAAATAGACAACAGAAATAAAACTTACATAGGAAGACCTTTACCCCACCATAAAATAGTTAGTGTATCCAAGTTGTATGTCTGGCAGACACAGCTGGCTTCTGTTCCTGTCAACCAGCTGTAACTATAGTGATGTTGCAGCTCTGAAGCCTTTCTTCCTATGCCCACTGGGACAGTCCAGTCACTACAAAGCTTTTATTTTTTTTATGCTTACTTGCTTATTCGTGTGTGTGTGTGTGTGTGTGTGTGTGTGTGTGTGTGTGTGTGTGTGTGTACATGTGCATGTCAGAGGGCCTCTTGTAGTAATCAGTTCTCTCCTTCCATCATCTAAGTTCAGGGATAAAATCAGGTCATCAGTCTTGGTGGCGAGTGTCTTTACCTACTGAACTATCCTGCCAGCTTTTCTCCAAGGCTTTTCACCTATAATTTCAAGTTATGAATGTAGCCAGTACACTAGTCATGATAGATTACACCTGTAACCTGTAATCTTAGCACCCTAGAGGCGTGAGCAAAAGGATAATGAGTTCAAAGTCATTTTCAGGTACATAGCAAGCTCAAGGCCAGCCTGGGCTACATTAGACCCTGTCTTGGAAAAGAAAAGAAAAATTTATGCAGTCTGATTTTGTCTTTATCAAAGAAATACATGGCTGGCTCTCCAAAGGCTCAGCATTGATGTGTGGGCTCATCACTTCCTGCCTCTCAGCCAGTCTTAGTGGTGGGAGCTCCAAAAGGCCAGTACTTAGGGTACGCCTGCTGACCCTCTTCTTCCCTCTTACCCTGCTTGAAGCCCAGTGGGGCCTACAAATCCCACGTCCACCACCCAGTGCTCTTGAAAAGAGGGCTCTGCTTCAGTTTTTCCAGTCATTGGTAAGTGGTTATAACCTCTGGTTAGGATTTGAGGTGTCCTGTTTGGGGATATCTGAAGCACAGATGAGATGAGTTTCCCCCTTTATGTGTGGTTCCCTTGAGGATGTGTTTTATACCTAGAGCTCTCTGTAAGTGTGCTTTGTGTGAGTGTGAACTTCCAGAGGGGGATGCATGTTCTGTACACAGATACACCTCAGAATATCTCTCTTTTGTCATGGAGGGGATCTCTGAAAGTTGTCCCAGTGAAAGTCAGTGGATCAGGGTAGTGAGCTCCAGGTACCTGCTACCTGGCTTTGAGGAGGCTGTGGCCTGGGCCTAAGAGGAATGCCAGATTGCTTACAATCCACACGCCAGTGGCTACCCTGTCACTTAGTGTGGACAAAGCCCAGTGCTAGTGTTCCTGACTCTAACCCAGCGCCTGTTGCCTGTTTTCCTTCACAGGATGTGAGTGACCGAATAGAAAAGGAGTCCTTGGATGGCCCGATAGTAAGGCAGTTGGAGAGAGGAGGGAGAGCTGTGGTGAAGATGGACTGGCGGGAGAACATCACTGTCCCCTTGCAGACAGGTGACCATGCGACTCTGAGCTACATAAACAAGGCAGTTCCAACTGTTGGAGTTCCAAATCCCACTTCTTGATTTGAGACTTACTTGAGCATGTCCTTGAGGGTGTGGTTACATGGATACACATTCATGTTTATCCCTTAGAGTGACAGGTTAGTGATAGTGTCATGCTCAAAGGTGCCATCTCATCTGGATGAACTTCAGATGAACACCACCTTTATTTTAGGTCTAAGAGGTAGCATCTTTTTGTTTGGTTGGTTGGTTTTGGTTTTTTGTTTTGTTGTTGTTGTTGGTTTTTCGTTTGGTTTTTTGTTGTTGTTGTTTGTTTGTTTTTTCAAGACAGGGTTTCTCTGTGTGTCAGCAGTGGCTATCCTGGAACTCCCTCTGTAGGCCAGGCTGGCCTTAAACTCACAGAGATCTACCTGCCTCTGCCTCCTGAGTGTTGGGATTAAAGGTGTGCGCCATACTGCCCAGCAAGAGGTAGCATCTTTTGCAGTGACTGAGATTCACTTTAATCCAGTTGCAAGACCCCAGGGATTTCCTTTAAAATTTTCCTTGCTTAACCATTATATCCCTTAATGTTTTTCTAGATCTGCGAAAATTCAGAACCTACAAAGGTGGCTCCGTCAGGGATCTCCTCCGAGCCATGAGAAATAAGGTAAAGGGCTTGTGAGGGCTTTGGGGGAGGTGACCACAGCAGACATCGCCTCCTTATATTCATTTCTATGTTCAGCCGGATTTGACAAGTGTCTTAGTTACTTTTCTATTGCTGTGAAGAGACACCATGACCAAGGCAACTTATAAAAGGAATCATTAAGTGGGGCCTTGCTTACAATCACAGAGGGTGAGATGGTCATGGCAGAGGGAGCATGGCAACAGGTAGGCAGGCGTGGTGTTGGAGCAGTAACTGAGAGCTACATTTTAATCCACTAGTTGGAGGTAGAGAAAGAAACTGGGCCTGGCATGGGCTTTTGAAACCTCAAAGCCCACCCCCCATGACACACCTCCTCCAACAAGGATACACATTCAAATATATGAGCCTATGGGAACCTTTCTCATTCCAGTCACCACAAGTAAACAAACATGTCTCTGCTCGAGGAATCTCTCTCCAGAGACTTCAGAATGCAGGGCTAAGATCTAAGGACCGGTCTCTTGGGACATAGGTGTTTCCTGGTCTCTGCTGGTTTATGGTACCCTCTGACTGCCTGACAGACACCTTATGAGCATGCTCTAACAGGACCTTTCTGGTCACTTTCCTATACAAGGCCAAGTCTTCAGAGGTTTGGGGAAGGGCTCCTCTTGGAGTCCTGGGATGCTCTTGACCTGTGCAATCACTAAGCAACCTTCACAAAGGCCTGACCGCAGGTGCAGAAGCAGCTTCCAGTCCTGTCAGGACAAACACTGCTACTCCATGACCTTCAAGGGAGGCCTGTGCTCCCTTCTGGATGGCCAGCACCATGGTGAAGCTACAGCTGCTCTCCTTAGCTGAGCCTCACCCACTTTGAGCTCTCCTTCTGAAGGAGCAGAGCCTACAGAACACTGGATGTATTGTTGGTGTGTGAGTCTTTCCTTACAGAGGAGCCCTGAGCACTGTCGTCAGCTGCTAAAGCTGTGTCTCTCTGCTCATTCACAGAAACACCACTACCGAGAGCTCCCCGTGGAGGTTCAGGAGACGCTGGGCTCCATCCCTGATGACTTTGTGCGCTATTTCACATCACGCTTCCCCTACCTCCTCTCACACACCTACCGAGCCATGGAGCTGTGCAGGCATGAGAGACTCTTCCAGACCTACTACTTGCACGAGCCCACAGAACCCCAGTGACTCCAGACGCGCTCTGAGCTAGGGCAGCCCCTCTAGTCTGGTGGCCCAACAGTGACCATGGGCCCAACTTCTGCATTTCATAGCTTGCTACCCCTGGGATTAGCAGGAAGACTAAGCTTCTCAAACCAAGTGCCTTGAGCTGCTACCCTGCAGCCAGAAGAGGACAGTGCTGATCCTAGGAAGCAGGAGAGGTGGCCCTTCATGACTACAGACAGCTGAAGCCATGTGGCCCTGAAGCCTTGTAGTCGGGGTTGTGTACAAAGGTGGGCCTGTCCCAGAGGCTGCAAAAGGAGCAGCACCAACGTTCCCTGGATGAGCTTGCTTCCCTTTCACTGGATGAACTCTCTTCCACTTACATTTCTTTCTAAAATTCCTGTGGGGAGGCACTTTGGGGGCCTTTCAGTGAGGGAGTAGAGGAATCCTGTTTTGCCTGCATGCTAGGAGCAGCCTGGCTGGGGTACAGCAAGTGCACCCTCTGCTAGAAATGGTTTGAGAAACACAGCGTGCTAAGGAAGAGGGCGATCAGAGGTGTTGTCCTGGAGACAGGAGGCTCCTCCACGTTACTGGTAGCCTGTGTTGCCTTGTGCAGCAAGTTGTAAATGTGGGCATGGAGTTAGAGACTGGTTAGCCATGCATCTGGACAGCTGAGGTATATCTGTGGGAAAGGAGGATGAAGAGGAGGTCAGTTCTGGGTATGGTGCTGGCCCAGCACAAGTGGCCTAAATAGTAGCCCCTGATAGACTGAATCCTGGCCATGTGAGCCAGAGATGAAGAGTTCCCTAGCCAGGAAGGCTGCTAAGACCAGACAGGGACAGAGACAGGTATTCGGGGCCAAGGGTCACTTGGAGGGCTCAGAACCAGAAGGAGAGTGATAGGGCCCTTCTGCCTCAGAGGATAGCGATGAGCTTACACATGGTGAGCAAAGCCCTGGGGTAGAGAACCAAGGCCAGGGCCACCGCACGCTTTTTAGGCCAGATTTTCTGTTTCTGGCAAATTTTAATGAGTGTATTTTGATCGTATTGCAGAAAGCTGCATTTGCTCAAGTAAGTTAAATGTAGCTTGATGCTTGTGAAAAAGAAATGCAAGATATATCTTCTATTTTGTGTAATACCAAAAATCGCCATTCCCTCAAGAATGCAGAACATTGTCTAATGTGAAAGAGTAAGGCATTCTAGCAACACTACGTAAATGTGTTCCTGTCAAAGTAATTATGTCAGTACCAGTTTTCTCTAAAATTAATTTTAACTTTAGTTCCAGTCAGAATTTACTGTCTTCTCCCTCCCAAGACCTTAGAGGTTAGAATGCAGTCAGGGGGAAGATTTTGTGTGGGCTCCCTAGAGTTAGTGAGGTCTCTACTGTGCAGTCCTGATGAGCTGAGGCTCCATTCTGCTCTGTGCTGAGAGTAGCCTCGGCAGCTTCTGCACTGACTGGAGCTGTTGCTGCTGCATCCCCGAGAGGTCTTCTGGAGGGCTGGTACCAGGGCCACTTACCCAAAGCTTCCTCTGCTGCTGTAGAATCTGATTCCCTTACTTTCATAGTGGCTAAAGTGAACTTTTTCTTAATCTCTTACATCTTTGATCCTCATGGGTGACCCTGTTTAGACCTTGGGACCTCAGTCCCGTAGTTGGCTTCCTGCTCATCACTGTGCCAGGGGGTGCAAGAGGGAACAGCCCAAGACCAATGCAGGAGGTGGAAGCCGTGCAGTCTAACCAGTGCCTGGGGACTGCTGCTTACCCTGTTCCTCACAGCTAAGCTTCCCTTTGGGAAGTGCTGAAGGCTTTTGTAAAAGCCAGCTTGGTATTACCTCCCAGTTTGCCTGGGGTCAGCTTCTCAAAAGTCCTTGCCACTTAGCAGATCAGTTCCTAGCCAATCAAATTTCCAAAAGTCCTCTATTGATCATACTTATTTGAAACTTTCTGTAGAGCTAGGTGGGACATGAGACACTTGGGACACAGATGACAGCACAGAAAGACTTGTGCCTTAAAGCCTCGTGAGAGTCATTAGCACACAAGCATCAGGGCAGAAAGGAAACTCAAGTGGGTAGGAAGGATGTATATTTGGGGTTTGCCCCACTTGTGCCTTAAAACTGTCCATCTCAGAACCAGTCAGCTTGTGGTCAGCTCGCCTCTGTGTGTCCTCTAGGAACAAGGCAGTTGTTAGCTCTCTGGGTGTCACGAAAACACTGGGCATCTGGGGTGCTCAGCAAGAGATGCTGTCTGCCTTCAGGCCCGGGCAGCTCTGTGCATTGTAGCATCTTGAGAGGCTGCTGGGATCCCTGGAAGACTGCCCAGCACCTTCAGCTTTAGGATGGAATCGAGCTGTGGGATGTTATCTTTGTTAAAACCTTGTCTTGTGTTGAGATTTAAGTTTAGGAAATGTGCCGAGTCATTAAGCACCAAAGCACTTGCACTTTTGGGAACATAGGTATCACTGGGCCATCTAGAGACTGACGTGAACCTCTGCAGAGTTGTCCCCTGCTCTCAGTAAAGCAGTAACTGTAGGCTCTTCCCGTGATGCATTACAGAGAAGGTGGAGGTCTGGGGTCAGCAGACGCAGCCAAGTGCTCTCTACCCAACATGGGATGAGAGGCTGCTCAGACTCCACTTGATTTTATGGAGGACTTGTGCACATGTAATTCAGTCAGCTGCTGCTGTGACCCATCTGCAGAGTCACCTCTGGCTGCAAGCTCTCCTGTGCTGGTCACTTGCTTGTCATCTGCAGGGCTTTGGTCCTGTGTGACGTTCTGCAGGTCCCACCCTCCAGCTCTGCCAGGATTCTTCCATCTGCTTCTGGCTCTGTTCCTTGTTCATTGTCTTCATCATCCAGAGGTGCAGAAAGAGCAAGCAACAGCTGCCCTCTGAAATCCCTCTTCATGTTTCTCTGTGATTGCTTCTCCAACAGCTCTATCCTTACCCATCACTCACATCTGGAAGCCAGGGTGTTGGCCACCAGGGGTCTGCTTCCCCTGAAGGTTATCAGACCTCCAACTGAGGTCTGAATTCTTTGAAGCCAAAGTGCCTGCTCTCTTCCCTATTCTTGGTTTTCATTATAAACTAGTGATTGGCCTTCCATGTGTAATTCTGGTTGCTTTGGGCACTTAGGTCTCTTATGTTGTTTCTAGAAAGACACAGAGGCTGTGTCATCTGTGCTGAGCCTCCCTCTGGAGCAGCCTTAGCTACACTGCTTGCCAGAGTCCTGTGGCCTCATGTCTCCTGTTGCCCATGTGTTTGGTGGGTATAGTATTCCTTCCCAGTGTCCCTAAAACTGTGATGGGGAGTCCCCACTCACCTACTCACCTAAGCATTACCAGCCAGCTATGTGGCGTCCCCATACAAGGACCTTGTGTAGTTCTTTTTGCAACGACCTATTTATTGAATCTATTTATATTTATTTAATTTTTACTCTGAAGTTATCTGGTTACAATTGCACTTGCTTAAAGCACATCAGATCTGTTTTGAATACCCTGACCATTTTAAAACTGGAAAAGGAAAGTCACACTGTATCCTGCCACCTTATGGTAGCCTTATCTGTAAAGGGTAAATAGTTTGGTCTGGGTAAAATGTTAATTTTTAGACGATTTTTTTAAAATCATGTGCCATGTGTCTTCTCTGTGGACAGGTAATTGTTTAATTGATATGTGCTGATTGTATGATTCACTCCTCTTCATGGAAACTAAAATATTCTTTTTAGCTTTATATTTTATAAACTGCCAGATTGTACAACTTTTATGTGTATTTTTTAAAGCTCATGATATGAGGGCCGTTATCTAAGGTAAACGGCCTATTTTTGTACCTCTTGTACAGTTTTATAATTCTGCTCATTGATGAAGGTGATTTATGCTGAGCCAACCACAAATAAAGGTAGTTTTAGATTTGGGAGTCGCTTTGCTTCTTAAAGACTGGAGCGCCGCTTGAAGCAGGGAGCAGGCCCACCATTTTCATCCATGGGTGTAGCGTCTGAGTGGCCTGAGCAGCTGGCTAAGCTTGTGAGAAAAATGGGTCCCTGGTATTACGGGCTGGGTTTAGAGCTAGAACACCCTCCTTGGGGCCTGGTGAGGGTGACTGCCTTGAAATGTTCCTGAAGTTATTATTAAGCTGAATTTCAAGAAGGTGGCCCATTGGGACTGACCTGCCACACATTGGGAATTAGGCTCCCAGTCAGTCTGGGGTATGTATGTGATGAATAGGACTCTGGACTGAGATACCTGGAAAGAGAGAAGAGCTGTGATTAGCTCCACTAACAAAGCACCGGGAGTGGGACATTCTGAACTGACATGTTAGCAGCTCATCAGATAGCTGGGCCCCCAGGGGTGTGCTCATGCAATTTAGTCAATTAGTCCATTTAGTCTCCCCATATGTTTTCTCATCCTATCTGGAGAAATTGTGCAGCCTCCTAGTGCTCTTCCCCCAAGACAAAGACTATTTACAAAAGACAGACCTTAGGAGCCCACTAGCCCCAGAAGAACTTATCAGGCACTGTGTGGATGCTAACCATCCCTCCCACTTCATTCCTTAGCCTAGAAGGGTTCTGAGCCTTAGGATCATACCTTCCCCCTGAAGTACTAAATCTTGGACCCGGCCCTGTCCCCAGAAGACTGAGACCATCCTATTCCATGGTCCATAAAAGCCGACTGAAGTTCGGCCCCCAGAATGACACTACTGAGAGATGGTAGAGCCTTTAAGAGGTGAGGGCTTGGGAGATACAGGAGTGCAGTTAGGTCACTAGGAATGTGTCCAGGGGATCTGGACTTCTCCCCTTCCTCTCTGTTTTCTGGTTACAATAAGTAATTCTCTCTGTTGACCTCAGGGTGACTAGAGAGGCTGTTGACCAGATGGGACACCAGGTAGGTCTATGCCCCAGAACTCTATGATCTCATTACAGTCCCTCCACCCCTACCTCCAGGAAACGCCATCCTGATGTCCACTGCCTCCCAGAGTAAGAATCAGGCATGAGTTGTCTGGGAGGAGCAAAGGAGGCTGGGAAAGCCACTGTGGGAGATCACAGTTCTCATAACCTTCCCACACAAGAAGAGGGTCACAGCCAGGCACCACCATACACTAATGACTATATTTGTGGCCATTTAACCTGGTACTACTCACTGATTTTTAAAAAAGGGCAAACAAACCCTATGCTTGTTGGATTTTTCCATTCCCAAACAGCCACACCTGGCTTCTTAAGAAAGAAACAGTACATTCCCCCTTCTGGTCCCCAGTTGAGCACACTGGGGTTTTTTGTTTGCTTGTTTCGGTTTTGGTTTTTGAAATAGGATTTCTCTGTGTAGCATTGAAGCCTGTTCTGGAACTCACTCTGTAGACCAGGCTGACCTCAAACTCAAAGACCTGTCTGCCTCTGCCTCCCAAGTGCCAGATTTAAAGGCATGCAATACCATGGCCCAGTGAGCATACTGGTTTTATTGGTCCATGAAATGGAAGTTAAGAGGGAGGGGTGCTGGTCACAGTCATACTTGCCCTTAATCCCAGCACTCGAGAAGCAGAGGCAGACAGATCTCTGTGAGTTTGAGACCAGCATAGACTACAATGCAAGAGGATTGCAATGAGTCTAGCTTGATCTTCACAGATACCTCCTTCTACATGCCTTCCCTTCAGCTCCGCAGCTCCTGGATGTTTATGGATACATTTTTACATCCATGTATATCACCCTCCTCAAAATAGACTGGGCAGTGGTAATGCACATCTTTAATCCCAGCAACTGGGAGGCAGAGGCAGGTGGATTTTTGTGAGTTGGAAGCACGCCTAGCCTACAGAGAGAGTTCCAGGACAGCCAAGGCAACACAGAGAAACCTGTCTTAGGGGGAAAAAAGGCCTCAGGATACTGGAGAGATAGCATAATGGTTAAGAGTGTTAGTTGCACTGGGCGTTGGTGGCTTTTACACGCCTTTAATCCCAGCACTAGGGAGGCAGAGGCAGGTGGATCTCTGTGAGTTGGAGACCAGCTAGTTCCAGGAAAGCCTCCAAAACCAGAGAAATCCTGTCTCGGAAAAAAAAAAGTGTTAGCTGTTCTTCCAGAGGATCCCAGTTCAGTTCCTGGCATCCACGTGGGGCGTCTCACAATCACTTGTAACTCCAGAGGCTCCAAAGGTCTCTTCTGGCCTCTGTGAACACCTGGATGCAGATAATACATATATACATGTGATTAAAAACAAAATAGCCCTTCAAATTGCCTGGTGACTCACACCTGTAACCCCAGCCCTTGGGGGGCTGAGGCAGGATTGCCACAAAGTCTAGACCAACCTGGGCTATCCAGTGAATTTCAGGCTAGCCTGGACTAAAGAGTGAGATCCTGTCTTAAAGCACACAGCTTCTCAGGAACCCATCTGCATCCAAATCTACCTTTGAACAAGAAGGAATGTTTGGTACAGCCACCCTGCCCAGAGATGTAATTCTCTTGCCTTTAGAGTAGGATGCTTACTCTGTCCACCACTAGGAGGCTCTCGTGTGCTGTCCTCCCCAATTCCTCCTGCAGTGGATTGTTCAGATGACCAGTCTGGATGCTGATCTGACTCCACACTCTCTGGTGGGACCACCTTGAAATGAGGCTAGGGTCCAGACCAAAGAAGACCATACATGTATGGGTGTTTTGACTGCATGTATGTTTGTGCACCACACACATGCAGTGTCTGTGGAGGCAAGAAGAGGGCATCAGATCCTCAGGGACTGGCATTACAGTTGTGAGCCAGTGAGTGCTGGAAGAACTCTTAACCGCCCAGGGACCTGGCTTTCTGAACCCAACTCCTTCATTAGCTGGCATTTTCTAAGTAACCCACAGCCACAAGCTGTTCTCATTGCGAATTAACACTGACCAGAATATATGCCACTCTGTCCCTTGTAGAGTGAGGATGATCATGGAACCGGGCATTCTGTGAACCCCTGCAATAGTACAGGTGCCACAATGTCCTTGGACATACTCTACAAAGACACAGATAAGCACATGTCCAAGTACCGACTGTGACAACCAAACTTCATTGGGTGCCTATTCTTTACAAGCCCTTGATCGATGTTTTATAAATAGTAAACACTTGATTCCAAGCTGACCCACAGTCTCTTCTTTGGGCTCTCAGCCAGTGACTCTCAGTCTACCATGAAACTCTGGACTTCTCTGCCTTGGTCAACACTTGACTCTTTCTGCTGGTGGTTAGTTGGCAGTTACTAAAATTGACAGCCCTTCCTTATTCTGCTGAAACTGTGTGTACACCCCTCACCTCTACCTCCCAAGGGAGAAAGGGGGTCAACTCAGAATAAACAACCATTAACAATGTGCCTGTGCTAAGCCAGTAGTAATACAGACATCCCAATTGCTCTTTACAATGTAGAGTACAAGTTTGTGTTTATAGAATATGTGAAAGTGTCCCCTCTGTCCTCCAATCCCATAGCAAGAGACGGTAGAACCTTGCCTCCTGGCTTGAGCTGTGACTGTCTCCTCTACCATTTCCATACACTGCCCTCACTAGAAGCCAAACCAATGCCCGCACCTAGGACTGTAAACCTCTAAAACTGAACTAAATATTTTTTTCTTTCTAAGTTTGATTACCAGGGTTGGAGAGATGGCTCATTGGTTAAGAGCATTGGCTACTCTTCCAGAGGACCAGGGTTCAATTTCCACCATGAACATGGCAGCTCACAACTATCTGTAACTCTGGTTCTAGGGGATCTGAAGCCTTCTTCTGGCCTCCATGGGCACCAGGAATACATATTATACACAGACCTATACACATAAACAATACAGAAATAAATCAAGTACCTCAGGTGTTTTGTAGTGACAATATGATGCTGACTGATACAGATGTCTACCCCAACAGATACTGCTAAAACATTGTAAAGCATTGGTGACGTCAGTCCTTGGTTTGTCAGCTGTGTGGCAGGACAGCTAAAAACTACTTTAAAGCCAGGTGTTGTGGTGCACGCCTCTACTCCCAGCACACAAGAGACAGGTGGATCTCTGAGTTCAGGCCAGCCTGGTCTACATAATAAGTTCCAGGGCAGCCAGGACTACACAGAGAAACTGGGGGTGGGGTGGGGTAATGCTTTGAAGAAACCGAGGCTCAAAAAACGCTGAGAGAAAGTGTTCCAGGGCCAGCAGACCCTCAACATTCACAATCTGGAAGAATCTGTGAGCTCCGAATAAGATCTAATTTGTGGTTTTGCTGAGCCAGAGCTCTAACTGCTGTGGATGTGAAGCTGGCCCGTGAAGCTGGACAGCCGTGGATGTGAACCTAACTGACTGGCTGTCCAGTACCCACCCAAGCCCCGCACGCGCGCGTGCGCACACACACAACTTTCATACTCCCTGCTTGTTAAAACAAACCCACTCTGCTAGAGAACACGACTGGCTAGTTGGGACTACAGATGTGAAGAGATGATGGTTTTAGTCACTAACAGGTTTTCCTGAAGTGTGGGACACAGCCAGATGGGGTTCTGTGCTGCTAACTGGACAAGCACAGAGGAACAATGAATGGCTCGTTCCATCAAAGGCCTCAAGAAACTGCACATCGGGCTGGAGAGATGGCTCAGAGGTTAAGAGCACTGGCTGCTCTTCCAGAGGACCTGGGTTCAATTCCCAGCACCCACATGGCAGCTCACAATTGTCTGTAACTCCAGTTCCAGTGGATCCAACTCCCTTAAACACACATGTATATGAAAATTAAAAGAAACTGCACGTCAAGGGTATGAACGAGTCAGCATTTCTTCTGAAACTCGCACAGAGTGGTCATCTGATACAGCAATTCCACTTTTGAGTATTTGCCAAAGAACTGAAAACCTAGATTGCCCGTCCCTTTAACCATTTTCAAGTGCATGGTTCTGCAGTATTATATGCTCACACCTTTCTGCAGTGGCTGGCACAGTCATGGAAGGGACAGCTACATTTCTAGCTGAGAAGCTAAGAGGAAGGAGCGTGATCCCACAGCGTCTTTCAAGGATGGTCTCCAAGTGACGTAAGGATCCCACACAAAGTCCTGGCTCTTTGAAAAGATTTTGTTTTAGGTCAACATTCCAGAGTTCTCCGTGGACGCTTGGCCCTGTTGTTCCTTCCTGGGCAGTGAGGAGACAGGGCACTGAGATAAGGAGCATGAGGAAGCCTGGAGATGCTCACTTGATGGTGGCCAGGGAGCAGAGGAAATAAAAATAGGAGTTTGAACCGACAAGGTGGCTCAGCAGTGTATGCCAAACCTGATGACCTGAGTTCAATCCCCAGGACCCATGGGGTAGGAAAGAGCTGACTCCCACAAATTGCCCTCTGACCTCCACAGTGTGGCATGGCATCTGCATTCGTGAGCATGCACACACTAAATAAATAAATGCAGTAATACTTCTTAAAGACACTGGGGCTGGGAGGCGATGGCGCTCCATGTTAATACCAAGGCTGGAGAGGCAGAGGCAAGCATATCTGTGACATTAAAGCCGGCCAGGACTACACAGAGAAACCCTCTCTCGGAAAACAAAATAAAGACAACGGGCATTTTCACGCCACGTTCGAATGTAGCAGTAGCACCGTGTCCAACTGTGGGCAAACAGAACCGTGGCTGTGAATGTGGAACAGTCCGTAGCCTCAGACACAGTCATTCCGCCACACGCCACCACAAGGATGAAGCCAGAGGAGGTCACGCTGAATGAAGTGAAGCCGGCACTAAAGGACCCAGGAATGGCGAACACAGAGGTAGAAAGCAGAGTGGGAGTTGCCGGGGACTGGGGAAGGAATGGAGAATTACCGGCGTGGATCTGCAGTTTCAGTCTGGAAAGGTGAAAAGCCCTGGAGATGATACAGGGCGAGTGTACTACTAGCTACACAACTGTGTGTTTGAAAAACCGTTAAAGGCATAGTAGCTCGTGATAGCCCTCAAGAGGCTGAGGCTGGGAGGCTGAATGTGAGGCTAGCCTGGTCTGTATGGTGGGACCCTGCCTCAGAAAAAAAACAAAGAAACTACATTAAATAATAAGTGTTGTTGGGTACATCTTAAGACAATGTGGAGAAAACGCCAGTAGCAGTGTTAAAATCATGTTAATTTGGTGTAGAAACCAGGGCACAGGAAACACGTGACACCTTAGGAGTTAAATGTTGAACCGCTAGAACTTACCACATTGTGACAAGGTTCCCAGTTGGCAGCATCTGAACCCGGCACGGTAAGTCACAGCCTCTGGCTTCCCTGCTTCCCCTCCAACGAGCCCAGCAGCATGGGACTTTTGGGCTGTTTAAGTGCCTGAATTCTGCTCTTTCCCTCTCTCTAACCCTCGGCTCTCCACCCCACTCTGGTACGCAGTGGTTGGAGGATCCCCAGAGGGAGTTCCTCCTTCAGGGCTTCTGAAGCTCTGGTCTTTGTCCCCAGCCCACCACCCTGGCCCCGCCTTAGTGACTGTTTCCTGTTTTTTGCTTTCTTCCTTCCCTTCCCCCTCTGGGTGGCATCCATGTAGGTGACAGATTTAGAAACATAGCCCTGGATGGCCTGGAACTCCCAGAGAACCACCTGATTTTATTTCCCTATTTCCCGAGTGCTGGGATTAAAGTCATGGGCCACCACACCCAACAGGTCCACAGCTTTCTAACCCCCAAGTCCACATGGGCAGACCCACGTGGGCTAAGACCTGGAAAGGGACAGTCCCTTCTTTCTCTCTGTATCTCTCTGTCTGTCTCTCTGTCTCTATCTATCTGTCTGTCTGTCTGTCTCTCTCTTTCTGTCTTTGTGTGTCTCTCTGTCTCTCTCTCTGTCTCTGTCTCTTTCACTGTCTCTCTCAGTTTTTTGAGACAGGGTTTCTCTGTGTGGCCCTGGCTGTCCTGGAACTCGCTCTAGACCAAACTGGCCTTGAACTCGAAGATCTGCCCGCCTCTGCCTCCTGGGACTAAAGGCGTGCACCACCACTGTCATCCAGTCCCTTCTCTCAAGTGAGCACCACGGTTCTCTTCCTGAGAACATGCCAGTCAGTGACAGGAGCCATTAACACTGTGGTTCACACTCCCAAGCCTCCTCCTCATCATCATCGTCATCATCATTATTCAGGAATTTTCCTTTCCTCTTTGTATTTTTGTAAAATTGAACAGTAATGTGTGAGAAGTCTGTGACATACCTGTCACCATAGTGCACAGAAATATAACAGCTATGGGTAAAATGTCACTAAAGCTTTCATGGACTTAACTTCTCAGAGGCCACTTTATTTTCATGCACTTGCTAGAATTTTGTGTTAGTTTCTTCTCTGAAGTGTTCAGTTGTACAAACATGCTTATTTTTATTGTGTGAGAAGTTACACAGTGCCTAGCATTCCAGGTACCTTAAAACATCAACTCTTTTAAGCCAGATGTGGTGGCAGCTGCCTGAAATCCTAGCGCTTGGGTGGTAAAGAGAGAAGAGTCAGGAGTTCAAGGCATATATCGAATTTGAGGCCAGCCTGGACTACTGAAGATTTTTGTCTCAAGAAGGAAAAGTGAACTCATTTAACTCATACAGCAACTCTATGAAGGAGACCAAGAATCCCATTTTACAGATGAGGGAGTACAAGCATAAAGAGACTAAATGATTTGCCTAGGGTCATCTATGTTTCCCGAGTCTAGGGACAAAAGTTCTTCCAGGACGTGCACGTATCTAAGAGAAGAACTGTTCGTTGCAGGGAGGCAACTACTTAGCTTTGGGCTGGAGAGGTCGCTCAGGGGTTAAGAGTGCTCGTTCCTCTCATGGAGAATAGGCGTCCATCCCCAGCTCTCTGATGGTAGCTCCCAGTCACCTTTAACTCTAGGACATCCCACACCCTCTTCTGGTCACAAATACATAAAAATACCAAATAAAATAAGTCGGTTTTTATTCAGCTTGACAAGATAGTATTTTGTTGTTCCTCGGGGAACCAATATACTCTCCCATTAGTAACTGTAAAAGTTGTTATTGTCCTGTAACATCTCCAAAAATTGACCTTTAGATTTCTTAACCTCTGCCAACTTAGTAGATGTGGTTTCCATCTTAATTTCCTGGCTACTGTTGAGCTAAAGTAATGCCCTCTTTCCTTTGACATTGTTTTGTGGGTTTGATGCGCTCAGTTATCAATGGCTTGTTTATTTTTCAGTGCTGGGCTAGAACCCAGGGCCTGTGTGTGCCGGGGAAGTGTTCTACCTATTGAGCTACAGGCCTAACCCTGTCCTTTATGACTGACAGTTTTGAAATCTTGATTAATACCTTACCCTAATGACATAATACCCTCCTATATTTCCTTGTCAATGTTTCTAGAGTTTTCTTTCACACATAATTACTCACTGTGAATGGAATTGAGTTCTCCAATTGAAGTGATGTGGGCATGCCACCCCCCCAACCCCCCCACCCCACCCCCACCCCCGCATCTGGTTAATCAGTTGACCCAGCCTCACATAACAGACATTTCTTTTACCCAGCCATTCACATTGCCTTGTGCTAGTCAGGCGCGTTTCTAGGCTCTAGACACTAGGACCCACTTATTTACTCTCCCTATACCCATACTAATATTTTATATTAAATCTCAATAATCAGAGAGCAAATTGCCCATCTTATTCTTCCCATTCAACTCGATCCTTTTATCTTTCCACAAACACTTTATGATCAGCTTTCAAGTTCCATGCACAACCAACCTTATTAGGATTAACTGGAATTTCACTGAACCTGCATATCGGTTGAGAAGGTAATTGCCGTTCTTTTATATTTTATTACATTTTATTGTAGGGGGCACATGCATGCCATAGCACATGCAGAGGTCAGAGGACAGCTTGTGGGAGTCAGTTCTCTTCTTTTACCACTTGGGGCCCAAGGATCAAACTCAGGTCATCAGGCTTGCTGGCAAGAGCCACCCTCTGAGTCAGCCGCCTCAGCAGCCCCCACCCAGACGTTTCATTTCTTCTCAAATTAAATCCAAAACGTTCATTTTTCTGAGGCTTGGTTTACTTTGTTCCATATTTTATGGAATACATTATTTTATAGTCTCCTCTATTTTTTATTGTTGGGCAAGGGAGTTGAGAGTAGCCCAAATTGGCTTCAAACTCACCGTCCACCAATCTCAGCATCTAAGTGGTGCTGGAATTATACAACTGAACCAGCACACTGGGCTTTTGTTTGTCTTTTAGACAGGGTTTCTCTGTGTGATCCTGGCTGTCCTAAAATTCACTCCTGTAGATCAAGCTGGTCTTGAACTCAGAGATTCACCTGCCTCTCCCTGCCTTCCAAGCACTGGAATTAAAGGCATGGGCCACCACCACCTGGCTAATTTTTACTTTTTTAGTTGTGGTACTATACATATAAAATGTTTATTTATTTTCAGCCAGGCACGTTCACTTTGTTCCAAAACTAATCTTCGGAAGCGATCTTACAAAATGAAACTCCCCCTAAGAAAACTCCCGCTTCCCTTCCAGCCCCTGGCAGCTTCCCTTCTCCTCTCTGTTGTGCCGAGCCTTTTTATAACCCTGCTGTGTTTCCACAGTTGTTCTGCTGATGGCTCTTTGCTTTCCTTTTGAGCCTTGTCAGGAAGTTTCCTCTGGCCTTCTGCGGCCTTGCACGTCCCTCCCAAGGGTCTCTGGGGAATCCGCCCCTCACAGTGGCTTCCTTTGCCCCTGCTCTAGTGGGCTTCATCAGTTACCACAGCTGCCTGTCTCATGGAGATTTCACTCTTTCCTAGGTACGTGACCTTGACCAAGCCACTCAGCCTCTCTGTGCCTGGGTTTCTCCTTCTGGGAGATGATTACAGTAGGAGCACTTGAGCTTGTAGAGTTTAGGAGTAATTAGTTAATAATTACAGAGTACTTGGACAGTGCCCAGCATGAAGCGGGTACAGCTGCGTGTCCCGACACATTGCAATTAGTGACAAGCCACATGTACAACAGGGGTCCCAGAGAATTACATTGAAGCTAGAAAAGTCACACCACCTAGAGACTGAACGCATTGCTCCCAGATCCCTGGTGACAGTAGTGTCAACCTACTGTACTGCAGTTGTGTTCAAATAGAGCATGCACAGTTATGTACATGAGGTACGTAGTATTTGTCCTGTACCATCTAGGTGTGTGTGGACACACTACAATGCTCACACAACCACAAACTGCCTGATGGTGAATTTCTCAGAACTTGAATTACAGTGGGAGCTCAAGGCCTGGGTGGCGCTTAGTGAGACCCTGTCTCAAAGTGAAAACACCAAGTGTGCTAGGGACACAGCCTGGAGCACTGGCCTAGCATGGATGAGGTCACGGCGTCTGAGTCACCAGCATCCCCAAAATGAAAACAGCACTTGTTCCCTCCCTAAGTCATGTCTGTCAGTGTTGCTGCACTATTATCTCCACTCTTGTTGTTGTCATTATTATTATGTTATTACCCAGAGGAGGTCAGCCTCCACTGTGTCACCCAGACCCTTCCAGTTGACCTGTTCCCTGTCCCCAGCACTCTGTCAACCTCATGTGAGATCAGACCCCCTGACTTCACTCCACTTCTCCCTCTTCTCTCTGTTACTCTGTCGGCCCCTTCTCTCTGGCATGACCCCGAAGCCCAGCATCGCCATGCAGGGACGTCTGGATCCACGCTGATAACAGCTGCACCAGCTAGCTGTACACTGTAGTCCGTACTCAGCACTGTGAGAACGGCCGGATGCCATAGTACTCTCCAACCCAGAAACCTGGGCCACTGGTGGAGCCGTTGAAGCTTCCTCTGCTTGACTTCTGGAGGCTGTAGTGGTCTGGGAGCTGGCTTCCTGATCTCAGATAATGAGCCCTCAAAACTCTGGGCTCCCATAAAAGCTCACTGCCTGTGAGAAAGCCTGCCTGGAAGGCACTGGGTTCGAGGCTTCCCAGACCAAGGCCCTGCCTGGAGGGAGGATGCGCAAGAAGGCACTAACTGACAAGCCCATAAAAGGGCCAGGATTTGGGACTAGGCTGTAGCTGGTCTGTTCCCTGACTTCCTGGGCCTGGACCACTGGACACCATTGTGGGCTGCCCTTTTGCAATCTCTGAGCCCCAAGTGGGCCCTGCATTGTGAGTTAGGGCCAGGCTTCTCCTGGAAACTAATCAAGGCATTAAGGTGTGCAGACACAAGCAGGGTATTAGCCGGGGACTACTACATGACGCTGTTCTAACTTTGGATATCATCTTTCCAGAGATGACTACAACAGAGGTCCAGTGGGATTCAGGGTCTGAGCCTCATTCTGCCCATGCACAGAAATAGGAATTCCATGTGTACACACATGCACACAAAGACACACATACACACACACAAGTGCGTTCACGCATGCTCTCCCGCGGGCCACACACACTTCCCTGAATGTGAGCTTCTGTTGCTCTCCTAACCCCACACAGGGAGCAAGCCACATGGGAGGACCGTGCTACACCCCTGCTTATCAGCTGCTTCCCGGTTTCCTCTGCCTGAATTCTTGAGGGCCTGAAGGCTTGGGAGCTGGCCTGTGCATATATGGCTTCCTGATCTCAGATAATGAGAGGAAATGAGATCATTGGTGCAGAGAAGACTACGGATTTCAGGCCAGAGCTCCAGCCTTCACTCCCCAATCTGTGGTGTCCATCTCTCCATCTCCCTCCAGGCAGCCGTCGGCTGTGCCCCTGGAGCCCGTAGACCCCACAGACCCCACCTGAGATGCCTTCTTTTGCTTGCTGGAGCCTGCCTATAACCCTTCTTGCCCTGCTCTGCTGCCCAGGTAAGCGGTCCCCAGGGTTCCCAGCACGTGGCATCTTAGGGTGGGGAGTTTTGCACTGTTCCTTGGGCTTCATGTTGGGGAGGAGGGCATCCTAGCCACAGGGGCCTCTCTCCCATGGATACAGAAGACTGTAGCAGCCTGGCGTTGGCTTTCCATGGCCTGGGGCAGTGGCTAGGATCATGGCATCTGGGTTACTGGATAGAACAAACCCAGGGTTCCGAGAATGTTGATATGATAGGCTAACAAGGTTGGATGGTGAGTAGTGGGTTAATAGGGGACCAGGAAGGGATGCCAGGGTCTAAGCAAAGGAGCCAGAGTGCCAAAGGGGCCTAGTGAACAGCAGAGGGCAGCAGAAGACACTGCACTCACTAGGACAGCAAAATGAAAATGAAACCCTTTTCAGTGGGTCAAGGAGACCTGGAAGGACATTAGGTGCTGAGTGCCCGCGCCTTAGACAACCTGCCTAATGCTTTCAAGCATGCTTGCACTCAGGACCCCGGGGAGGGCACATTAGCCCTCTTAATGGATGCAGAAACAGGGGCTCAGAGAGAGAATGCGTCTAACCCTAGGCCGCCCAGCCAGTGCATGGCAAATGTTGAATCCGAATGCAGCACTGTCTACATGGAAAGCCCCTCTTTCGCCACTGACTTACATACCCCTAGCCGATGGCTGAGTGGGCTGTGTGGGAAGGTAGGAAGCACAGGCCATCCTGGCTCTCCAGTGCTTCATGAGAGCATGCGCCCAACAGCAGGTCTGGGAGTCAGTAGTCCCCTTCATCTGGAGCATGCTCCCACAGCACATGCAAGGGTCACTTCCTCCCTCCATCTTTGCCCTAATGTCAATGTCATTATCTTTTGTTAACCATGTTATTAAAAATGGAGTCCCTCTGGGCAATGGTGGCACACACCTTTAATCCCAGCACTCGGGAGGCAGAGGCATGTGGATCTCTGTGAGTTCGAGACCAGCCTGGTCTACAAGAGCTAGTTCCAAGACAGCCTCCAAAGCCACAGAGAAACCCTGTCTCTGAAAAAAAAAAAAGAAAAAAGAAAAGAAACTGCCCCCCCCAAGAAAATGGAGTCCCTCCACTACCTCACCTCTCCTCCCTATCCCTGGAGCTTACCACTACCCAAAGGGCATCCTGGCAGTTCCCTATGGTTGTGTGAGCCCAGAGCTTCCTTCCATTCTCAGAAGTGTCTTTGTGACAGAGGGAACTTTGAACTGGAGCTTAAGGCAGCCAAAAATTAGCCTAGTGCTGACAGACAGAGGGACTAGAGGAAAGGACACAGGGAATCACAGGGTGGTGGCCTCTATGGGCCTGACCTGGGAATGGGGCAGAGGGACCAAAGGTGACCTGTCTTCTTGAACCTTAATTACAACTGCTGTTATTGATCTCTGAGGGCAGGCGTCAGAGACATCTGCTGCCTGGTATCTCTGCTGCCTGGTACCTTTGGTCTTACAGGGTCTGGTGAGAAGGCCTTTGAGGTCTACATATGGTCGGAGAAGCAGGTAGTAGAAGCCTGGGAGTCTTGGAAAGTCAACTGTAGCACCAACTGTGAGAACCCGAAAGTGGGCGGTCTGGAGACCACCATGAATAAGACGGTGCTGGAGGAGCACCCCCAGGGGAAGTGGAAACAGTTCTTAGTTTCAAACACCACCAACGACACGAAACTCATCTGCCACTTCACCTGTGCGGAGCAACAGCTCTCGGAGCATCTCAATATCACAGTATTCCGTGAGTGTCTGTGAGTGGCCCACGGCTCCCGGGCTCCTGACCCGCAAGCAGGTCAGGCCCGGGGGCTCTGCTTACCCCCTTGGTTGACTCCATGAGCCTCCTACACCCCAGAAGCAGACCGCACAGGTTTTGAATCTTGCTCCAAGAAGGTCAGTCCAGTCAAGGTTTGCCCAGATCTAGGAGTCAGTTCCTACCCCAGTTCAGCCACCAGAGAGCTCCACAGGCAGTGGAGAATCAGAGGCGCCAGTGGGCTTCATGAGACAAAGGAGTTCCTAGAGAATGCCATGAACGAGGGAGAAGGTAGAGGAGCCTCCATCCCCTGAGGACCCGTGGCAAATGTGCGGGCACTGTAAACACACCTGTCAGGATAAGCCAGGGTTCCCCAGGTGTCTCACTGCTACCCATTGCCAACCTGATGCATCAAAAAATAGAAAGATGCTCTAACTCCTGGGGTGGGGGTGAGTGGAGTTTAAAAGGGAGCCAGGGTACCGCCATAGCCCTTATTCAAAAGGGAGCCAGGGTACCGCCATAGTCCTTATTCAGCTCTTCAGGTGCCCACGTGCATAGTTCATAGGTGCTCCCTTCCAAATGCTCACAGCACAGCCACCCAGATGGTTAGTGTGAAAATTTGTGCTCGGTATCTGGAGGGAATGGAGACAAGTCCAGATGTATATATATGTGTGTGTGTATACATATATATATGTGCATACACACACACACACACATATATATCCTTCTAGTTGTGTGTGTGTATACATATATATATATGTGCATACACACACACACACACATATATATATATATCCTTCTAGTTGCGTCTATGATCTTGTATCTCCTCTTTGTAGACCCCCTTTCTATTTTCCAAATCATGCCCACAGAATTAGCACCCGGGACATCCTCCATCATACATTTCCTCTTCCTCCTCCTTCCAATGAGCAGGCCAAACCCGAGCGCACTTCCTCTCTCTCAGGTCCAGTTAGGGACCTGGGATGCCGGGAGATGGGCCCTGACCAGGCTGGGCCTGCAGAGACACAGTTCCATCCTGAGTGGCCTTCCTCCTTTGTCTTCTACAGAGCGTCCAGCTCAGGTCACACTGAGGCTGCAGCCTCCTCGAGTGATTGTGGGTGAAGCCTTCACCATTGAGTGCACGGCCCTGGCCGTGAAGCCCCTTGAGAGCCTCACGCTCACTCTGCTCCGTGGCAGAGAGACCCTGCAGAACCAGACATTTGGGGGAACTGAGCGTGAGGCAATGGTCAGACTCAACAGTACAGCTCTGACAAAGGAGGGCCACAACTTCTCCTGCCAGGCTGAGCTGGACCTGCGGCCCCATGGCGGCTACGTGATCCGCAGCATCTCTGAGTCCCAGATCCTCGAAGTCTTTGGTAAGGAGACTGTGGCCCGAGAGGGGCAGAGGCGGCATCCCTCTTGGCAGCTTGGGGAAAGAAAACCCTTAGAAGAGAAAACTCTTAGGTGGTTTGATGTGCATGAATGATGACAGAATCCTGAGGGCTCTCTCTCCAAGTTCCAAGCTGAACCCTAACTTTTCCAGAAGTCAGGAGAGCTCAACTAGTAGCTAGACCATTGTTGAGCATTGTGTAGCCTTGACCATGGTAGTGAGCTCTCTCTAGCCATGGCCCCTTTCTACAATGAGGAGACTGGCTGGTCTGACCCTCAGGTTCCCCCGAGTATTGCTGCTCTGTGACTCTAGGTGGCCAAGCCTGTTATAAATGAGTATGCTTTTTTGTTTTGTTTTGTTTTTCGAGACAGGGTTTCGGAGCCTGTCCTGGAACTCGCTCTGTAGACCAGGCTGGCCTCGAACTCACAGAGATCCACCTGCCTCTGCCTCCCGAGTGCTGGGATTAAAGGTGTGTGCCACCAACGCCCCCGTGAGCTTGCTTTTTTTTTAACTCTTTTTTTTCTTTGGGGGCCTGCCACCCAGTTCCCAAATAATCACACAGAGACATTCTTTCTTATGAATGCCCAACCTTAGCTTGACTTATTTCTACCCAGCTTTTCTTTTTTTTTCAATATTTATTTACTTTTATTTTATATGCATTAGTACATGTAACAGTGTCAGATCTTGGCCAGGCATTGGTGGTGCACGCCTTTGATCCCAGTACTCGGGAGGCAGAGGCAGGCAGATCTCTGTGTTCGAAGCCAGCCTGGTAACAGAGCGAGTTCCAGGACAGCCTCCAAAACAATACAGAGAAACCCTGCCTCGAAAAACCAAAAAAAGAAAAAAAAAAAAAGAGTGTCAGATCTTGGAGTTACAGTGTTGAGTTGCATATGGGTTCTGAGATCTCTGGGAGAGCAGACAGGTGCCCTTAACTGCTGAGCCATCTCTCCAGCCCCTAGCCAGCTTTTCTTAAATTATCCTGTCTACCTTTTGCCTCTGGGCTTTTACCTTTCTCTATTTCTGTATCTTTTCTTCCTTTCTTATTCCGTGTCTGGCTGGGTGGCTGGGTGGCTGGGTGGCTGGGGCCAGCATTTTCCTCTCCTCCTTTTCTCAATCCTCCTTTTTTTCCTTTTCTTCTTCTATTTATTCTCTCTGCTTGGCAGTCCTACCTGTCCTTTCTCCTGCCTTGCTATTGGCCATTCAGCTCTTTATTAGACCAATCAGGTGTCTAAGACAGGCAAAGTAGCACAGCTTCACAGAGTTAAACAAATGCAACATAAAATAATGTGACACATCTTTGCATCATTAAACAAATGTCCCGCAGCGCAAACACGTGTGACACATCTTCGGCTAATATTCCATAGCACCAGAACTACATACTGGCCTCAGGGGCTGCTGGAGGAAGGGTTTCTGCTCTGTGTTATAGCCAGGAGAGTAGGTCACCTTCCTCTTACATGTCATAGTGGGGGCAGGCACCTCATGCCACTGCTCTCTGCTACCAGGCTGACTGTGGAATGCACAGTGGGCAAGGGGTAATGTGTAGACGCCCTGGGGTGCTGGCATCTGAAAAATCTCTAAATCTGTTGCCTCTCCCCTCTCCAGAGCCTATGCAGGACAACCAGATGGTCATCATAATGGTGGTGGTGTCAATACTGCTGTTCTTATTTGTGACATCCGTCCTGCTTTGCTTTATCCTCGGTCAGCACTGGCACAGGAGGCGGACAGGCACCTATGGGGTACTAGCTGCCTGGAGGAGGCTGCCCCGAGCCTTCCGGCAACGTCCCATGTGAGCTGAGGTTGCCAGGCCCCTGGTGGCTGCTGGAACTCAACGTGGTGCCTTCAGGGTGTGGCCTCGCTGAAGGACTGTGGCACAAGACTCTGGGAACATTTCCCTTTGTAGCCTCAATACCAATAGCTGGATTTCACTCTGTACCCTCCATGTCTGCTCCTGGGAAAACAAGACACCACCTGTGACAACGAAGGTACCAAGTGTTACCTGCTCACCCTGTGTCTCCTCTTTTCTCCCCACCTCCCTGCTCTTCCCCAGAGCTTTCCAGAACCTGTGCAGCCCAGACCCCAGACATCTATCCACACCATTAGCAACGGATTTCCTCCTGAGGTCCCACGAGGGGGCGGATGTTCTGTTTGCACATGGCCCTGGGAACCTCAGGTTGTTCCTGGTTGAGCCGGCACATGGCTCTGGTTGTCCTTTCTGCCAACAGAACCCAGCAAAAGAAGGCTCAAGGAAGCCGAGTCAGCCGTAATGGCCTCCTGAGCTGGCCTTTTCCCAAGCCAAGCTGCCCTCCAGGGCCGTAAGGCATTCTTTCTCGCCCTATTGCAGGCCCAAGGGTGAGGCCACCGAGAGGAGAGATGGGCAAAGCTGGGTGTGGCTCTGGTATCAGGGCCTTACTCTGGACCAGACAGGAAACGGTGGATCAATGGGGTTTATATGGCTTCTGGGTCAGGGAGGGAGTTGAGGGGTTTCCACTCCAGAACAGCCAGCTCAAGATAGTGGAGTAGAACCTGAGGCCCAGGGTAGAGGGCTTGAGTGGGTAAGAAGGGCTCCAGCGTGGGCACAGAGTCACTCCAGAATGTCGAAGCCCTGTGCAGAAGCTGGCGACTATCTCTGTCTTCACGGCAGGCTCTCAGCATCGTAGTAATCTAGGAGTAGAACCCTCGGCTTGCTACCGTGTGGACCCCAGGGAGGAACACAGAATGGGACAAGGCAGTGGCTGCCAGGGGTCCCCATCCACAGGGCACATGGCCCTTCTGACATCTCAGTCTGTCCCAAGCTAGGCCCCACTGCCCACCCACCCAGCCCCTACCTGAAGCTGGGGGTACATCTGCACCAACAGTCCCTGTGGCGCTGGGGGGTGGGGGCGGGGGCACATCTCTCCTGAGATGGGAAAGAGAGAGGACCCTGTCAGACGCCCAGGGTGGCTTTTGAGCCTTTAATCCCCCTCCCCCCCCACAAGCCAGCTCTTACAACCTAGATCAGGGCTGGCCACGCCCAAACCCCTCCAATGTCACTTACACCTCCCTTTGCCTGGAGGCAGGGGGCTGGTGCTGAATCCTGGGTGTACCCTGCCAGGGAGGCTGGTGTGGGGGAACGGAGAAGAATGAGGCTGGCCAGAGTGTCATGGCGCCCAAGGAGGTCACAGGGCAAGGCACATAGTGGTGGTGGAACACCACAGGCTCTTCTTCTTGCGCCTCGGCCTCCATCGCTCCCTCCGCCTGCTCCTGCGGGCTGTCCGTGCAGACCTGGGGTGCGCGAAGTGAAGGGGGTGGCGGCACACGCTCCACCCTCCCTGCCCCCACCGCTCCGCCTCCGCCTCTGCCTCCTTCTTTACTACTTTCCGTAGCGTGCCGGCGACTGTTCGGGAGCTTTCGATGCGTGCAGGCAATGCCCACCCCATTACTCAGCATAGAGGAGAACTGAGCCTCTAAGAGGGGAAGCAGCTCATGTAAGAGCCTCAGGAGCTAACAAGAGGCGATGCCGGGCTTGACCGGGAAATCTCAGTGACTCCAGAGTGGGTACTGGAAGCCTGTAGATCTGTCTTTTCCTGTATCTTTCTGGGACCCTCAAGGAGGAGAGGTGCTCACCTCAGGGCCTCAGAGCATCTGGGAGTGTGAGGTAGCTGCCCTAACCCAGGATCTCCACCCCCAAACTCCCCAACTAGCCCCTCCTTGCACCCCTCCAGTCCTGCTGGAGCCCCCCTTTCTACTGGGTCATTCTTTCTCAGACCTCACACCCCTTATTCCCTCCACCCTGGGTCAAAACCCTACCTGGTTCTCAAGGGTCTGTCCTAAGGCCACCTGCAGTCCCCCAAGGACTCTCTCTCCCTCCCTCCCTCCGTCTCTCTCCCTCCGTCCCTCCCCAGGAATGTACACATACCACATTTCCACAAGGGCTTGTCACAGCCCACCTAGTCATTCATTCCCTTACCCATTCATTTGACAGATAGCAGTTGAGTCCCTAAAAAGAGTTCTGCATTAGGTTCCTGGGACCTGGGTTACACAGAGAAATGTGTAGCCTTGGAAGCAACATCTGGGTGGCAGTGGAGACCCGGTAACTCCCTTCCTATTAGAAGCTGACCCCACGCCTTAGCACACAGTAGGTGCCAAAGGCACTCAGTCAGACAGTGGCTAGCTTCCTGCTGCTACTCTATGCTGTCTTTTTTCTCCAGGTGGGGGCCCCCAGATAGAGCTCCACCCTGGGCCCCACCTTCACACACCTGTGGGCGGGGCCACTCTGGCGCTGCGCTCAGGGCTCCGGCCACCAGTCGACTCAGCAGCAGCTGATGCGTTTGCGCATTCTGCAGCATCATGAGCTCCAGCAGGTCTGCGAACAGGTTCCAACAGGCCCGCCCGGCCTGCACACAGTCCCGTCCCTCCCACCCTACAGCACTGATGTAGGACGTGCCCAGCTCAAGGAGGGGCCCCGAGTACGTGCGGCAGAGGGGAATCAGGAGAGCGACCCGGGAAAGTTACCTTCCTTGACGCGGCTAGGCTGCGGCAGAGGAGATGGGACAGTCCAAGGAAAAGGCTGCAAGATGGTCACCCAGGGCTGGGGACATGGGTGGGAGACTCAGCGAAAGCAGGCAGAAGAAGGGTGAGGCGTGCCAGGAGCCCCGCACTTCTCTCTGCGTCTCTGCACCTCACGGCCCCTCCTCCCAGGCCGGTGTCTCCCTCTTGTTTTGGGACCTCCCTTCTCACCGCCCCATATGTGGTCCAGAGTTTCCCTCCATCCCAGCTCAGCAGTCCCTGCCCCACATCCCATGCAAAAGTCTGGGCTCCTGGGCTCAGCCCCTACCGTCGGGGCGGCCGTCTGCGATGGGACGCCAGTCTGTGATGGGATGCCACTGCAGTTTCCACTCCCGAGAGAGGCCATGGCCTAGCAGCTCAGTTACCTTGGCAGCTCTGGGGACGCTGGGGAGGGCTCCTCCCAGGAGTACAGTGACCCGCCCATCGCAGGATGCCTGGTGCCTGGGAAACAGCTCAAGTCTCCGCCCCGGCCCTCCTCTTCCCCGGCCCTCCTCTTCGTCCCGGGTGTGGGGTATTTCCACCCTGGCCCACCTCCTCTTCCTGATTGTGGGAACTTTTGGGATTCTGAGGCTCAGGTCTCTCTTCTGGAGATGCACTTCAGGCCCCCGATGCTAACCCCGGGGAGACCCATGCTGGTTGAGTGAGAAGCTGGGGTGGCTTGGTTCCCTGCTTCCACAGGAATAGAAACTTTTATAGGCCCTGGCATGAGTGTGTGAGGCAGCTAAAGAGGGCAGAGGATCCACTCGGTCCCTCTGTCACTCAGGAGGAGGGAGTCCTAACGACCCAGGGGTTTCTGGAGGGGGACCCTCCAGACACTGAGCCAATTCATGCACTGGCTGTGGCTCTGGCCCTGAATGTCTGGGGCTCTTTATGTCTCCCCCGCTGATTCACTCAATTCTTCAAAAGCTGAACCGCTCGCTCACTGCGCCCTCAGCCGAGGGGAAGGTGGGCATTCAGTCCTCGAGTCCCCGGCACTGTCTTGTGTTTCCAAGACAGGAAGTTAGAGAAGCATCTATTGCTTAGGAACAGGTGAAGAGGGGAGATCTATTTCGGCAGCTGTGACATCCGAAGACAGGCCTCAGCAGCAGTTAAAACAATCCCGGCAGGAAGCTGGGATTAGCACCGGAGACTCACCCTTCCCCCACCCCCCACTCCTGTCCCCTCTCCACAGTCCTGGCGTGTAGAGCCAGGAGGAACATTCCCAGCTCCCCCTTTGTCCCTGTGTGTTGGTGATATTGTTAGTGGATTTATCAAGGACAGAGTCTCTGCCCTAGACAGCCACCTTCAATAAACCTTTTTTAAAGACAAAGCAGCTGGGCGGCGGTAGCAAACACCTTTAATGCCAACACTTCAGGAGACAGAGGCAGGCAGGTCCTAGTCCAGCCTGGTCTACGGAGTGAGTTCCAGGACAGCCAGGGAGACACAAAGGAACACTGTCTAGAAAAATCAAAAAAGCAAATAAATAAATAAATAATAGTAAAATTGTGAAAAAAGGAGATTCACACAATGTGGCCATATTAGGGCAAAGGGACCCAGTGGTAACCTCACCATCTAGTCCATCCACAGGGTCCTGGCATGAGAACAGCAAGAGGAAGTCACTGTCCCTGAAAACCAGCTAGAAGGGAAACCATTCCCACAGAGTTGCTACTGTTTACCCCATGGTGTAAAAGTGCCTGGGGGAAGAGAAGTGGGGTCTCAGGGTTGCTGTGATGAAACACCACAACCAAAGCAACCTGGGGAGGAGAGCTTTCTTTTGCTTACATTTCCATTTAACAGTCCATCCCTGAAGGAAGTCAGGACAGGACTCACGCAGGGCAGGAACCTGGAGGCAGGAGCTGATGCAGATGCCATGGAGGGTGCTGCTTACTGACTTGCTCCCCATGGCTTGCCCAATCTGCTTGCTTATAGAACCCAGGGATCTATGGTTTGGACCCTTCTCCATCAATCACTAATTTTAAAAATGCCCTACAGGTTTGCCTACAGACCTATGGAGGCATTTTCTTTTCTTTTCTTTTTTTTTTTTTTTTGGTTTTTCGAGACAGGGTTTCTCTGTAGCTTTGGAGACTGTCCTGGAACTCACTTTGTAGACCAGGCTGGCCTCGAACTCACAGAGATCCACCTGCCTCTGCCTCCCGAGTGCTGGGATTAAAGGCGTGCGCCACCAACACCGGGCGGGAGGCATTTTCTTAATTGAGGTCCCTTCCTCTGATGACTCCAGCTTGTGTCAAGTTGACATAAAGCTAGCCAGCATAATCGAGAAGTTCATTCATGGAGAGAAAACTGAACCAGAACTCAGCTGCCTGCCCCAACTCCCCCAGTTAGTCTCTGCTAGATGTTGTGTCGGATTTGACGATGTCCTCTCTATGGTTGTTGATTGTTCTTTGACTTGACAACCTCACCAGAGGGGATACTTTGCTCAGCCTGGGACTCTATTGGGAGCTCCAGCTGGTGCCTCTTGGGGCTTTCTCAATTTCTACTGGATGCTTGTCAGCCCCCAGCTCAATGATGCCTTTCCCTTTGGCTTGCTATATGCCTCACAAACTCATCCAAAACTCAGTGTGGCTATTGTAGGTCATCCTGAGGACCATAAAAAAGCCAGCAGGCACAAGTCAGACCCAATAAACCAATGGTTCTCAACCTTCCGAATGCTGCAACCCTTCAGCAGAGTTTCTCATGTCGTGGTGACCCCCAATCATACAATTATTTTCATTACTATTTCGACCCCTGTGACAGGGGTTGCAACCCACAGGTTGAGAATCACTGGGATAAAGATACAGAACACTGCCATCCCAAGATACAGAAAGTAGACATCATCGCGTGAGTAATGGGAGGCTATAGGCAGGTGCCAGCAGGAGAGAAGGGATGATGTGCACAGCCACGACTGGGAAGAACCATTTTGTTCCTCACATCTTTATACCAACCCCAATCTTACACACACACACACACACACACACACACACACACACACACACACACACGTCTCAGGTAACCCAGGCTGCCCTCAAATTCCAAATGTGCCCAAGGATACCCTTGAACGCCTGGTCCCCTGCCTGTGTTTCTTTTTTTTAAGATTTATTTATTTATTATATATACAGTGTTTTTCCTGCATGTGTGCTTGTACACCAGAAGAGGATGCCAGATCTCATTACAGATGGGAATTGAACTCAGAACCTCTGGAGAAGCAGCCAGTGCTCTTAACCTCTGAGCCATCCCTCCACCCCCCACCCCCCCACCCCCGGTGTTTCTTAGACATTATAGGTATGTCTCATCACACCGTGTTTATGAGTGTGAATGTTCTAGCAATCAATAGAATCATAACCAGTGCCACAATTCTACATAACAAAGCTTTTGTGTGCATGTAGCCTCAAAACAATACTGCAGCCAGCCAGTGGCAGTGCACGACTTTAATCCCGGCACACAGGAGGCAGAGGCATGGGATATCTGTGAGTTCCAGGACAGGCTCCAGAGCTACAGAGAAACCCTGTCTCAAAAAACCAACCCCCCCAAAAAAGCATAATAGTATTCACCCACAGCATGTCTCTATTGATGTAGAAAGATGTCAAAGAGAGTTGACTGAAAAAACCCAGTAGGATCTTATTGCATTTGTTTTTAATTTTATTGTGTATTGGTGTTTTGCCTACATGTGTATCTGTATACTACATGTGTGCCTAGTGCCCCTGGAGGACAGAAGGGGTATTGCACCCCCTGGATTAGAGTTACAGATGTTTGTGAGCAACCGTGTGGGTGTTGAGAATTGAAACCCTCTCTCTCTCTCTTTTTACATTTTTTATTTTACTTTATGTATATGATCAGTTTGCCTGTGTGTATGTCTGTACACCACTTGTGTGCTCCTGGAACTAGAGTTACAGACAGTTGTGAGCTGCCATATGGGTGCTGGGAATTGAACCTGGGTCCTCTATTACAGCAGCCAGTGTTCTGAACCTCTGAGCCATCTCTTCAGCCCCTTTTGTGTTTGTTTGTTTGTTTTTAAAGATTTATTTATTTATTATGTATACAGTGTTCTGCCTGCATGTATGCCTGCAGGCCAGAAAAGGGCACCAGATCTCTATACAGATGGTTGTGAACCACCATGTGGTTGCTGGGAATTGAACTCGGGACCTCTGGAAGAGCAGCCAAGTGCTCTTACCCTCTGAGCCATCTCTCCAGCCCTCATGTTTTTTTTTAAGGATTTCCTTTGGTGACCTGTGTGCTTGGATTCCTCGCTGCAGACTCCATCCCTGGTCAGTTCTTCCTGGAGATTAACATGAGTGAAAAGATCTTACTTTGTTTTTTAAATCACATGACCAGGACTAGGAAGTAGCTCCACTGGCTCCAAGAGGACCAGGGTTCAATTCTTGTTCCATTCAGGTACACAAATCACAGGCGTGTGCTTGTATATTTGTGGAGTGCTCATGCATGAGTGTTTTGCTTGCTTGTATATATGTGCACTGTGTGCACGTGACATCAGCTCCCCTGAAGCTGCACTTACGGATGGTAGTGAGTCTCGATAGGGATAGGTACAGAGAACCAAACTCACGTCTTCCTCGAGAACAAGTGCACTTAACCTCTCATCCGCCTCTCCAGCCCACCTTATTTTTTGAGACAGTCTCTCACTAAACTTGCTGCTCATCCTTTCAGCTAGACTGGCTGGTCATCGAGCCGCCTGGGATCCATCTGTTCCCACCCCCACCACCGAGAACAGCTCCCTGCTGAGCTGGGGATCTGAACTCAGGTCTTCATGCTTACACAGCCCACTTTCCCTTCTCATTGGTGATGGGGGCTCTTCTAAGAGAATTTGTCTTCTCTGTTGCCTTACTAAACCCATTTCTAGAAATAAGTAAGCACAGGAAAAGATTCATACCCACACTTATTTACCACAATGGTTTTTGTTGTTGTTGTTGTTGTTTCGAGACAGAGTTTCTCTATGTAGCCCTGGCTGTCCTGGAACTCAATGTGTAGAGCAGACTGGCTTCAAACTCACAGAGATCCGCCTGTCTCTGCCTCCCAAGTGCTGGGATCAAAGGCGTGTGCCACCACTGCCCTACTACAGTGTTATTTTTAATTGCTTATTTATTTTTTATACATAGGAGTGCTTTGTCTACATGTATGTCAGTGTGTCACATGTGGGCCTGATGCCTGCAGAGGCCAAAGGAGGTCACTGGGTCCCCTGGAACTGGAGTGACAGATGGCTGTGAGCCACCATGTGGGTTCTGGGAACCGCACTGGGTCATCTGCAAGAACAGTCAGTACTCTTCACCCACTGAGCCAGCTCTCTAGTCCCCGTGGTGCTACATTGAAAGAATTGAAAATTGAGCATCACTCCAGTCCAACAAAAATATTAATAATAATAATAAATTCCAGGCGGTGGTGGTGCACTCTGGGAGGCAGAGGCAGGGGGGATCTCTGAGTTTGAGGCC